TGCGGACGTCCCAGCCATGTTCTCTCTCATTCGTTGACGTATAATCCGAGATGAAGTGCGGCGTAATCCCAACGATAATCTCTTTGGATCGGTTATCTCCATGGTCGATCTTCTAAGTTCGGGGGACTCTTGAAATTCTGGTGTAGCAAGAGAACCAATTGAGGAATCAGAGTAAGGACTGAAATTCTGATGCATCTGTTGCCAATCATTTTCTTGCTCGCCCATTTCCCTCTCGAGATTTTCAAGTAATCGTAACCTCTCCATACCCTCATCGTAGCCCAGGTCCTCGAGCTCTTCTGTAGCTGGCATACGACGTAGAATCGATCCCAGTGATGGACGTCTTGGTTCTTCAATGCGATTCAATTGATCTTGAATCTCTTGAAGTGCCCTTCCTGGTGAGTCTAATAGTGGAGATGCTTCTGCGTTACGAATGAGAATTGGAGATGCTCTTCCACGTGGTGGCTCCAACTGTAATGCAGTGGGAGGTGAAATTTTCCGGGATCCATGCTTCGATCTTCGATCAGAAAATGCAGGCAGTTCGTCGCCGATACGTCGATGCCATGTTGGGAGAGTGTGTGTTGCATCAATTGGTAAGCCATTGATATCGAAAATGAAAGATTCCCTGTCACCCGCCGCTGATTCGGCCATAGATCTTCGATGTTCAGCAGAATCCATCATGACAACCATGACCTCTCCTTCATTTTCATCGTCCTCTACTGGAATTTCCGACATTCTTTCCAACCTCTCAACATCAGGTGTAAACCTTTGACTTCTCAGTGGCGAATATGCAGAATACGAAGAATTTCTATATGTGTCAGATGCAATCGATGGACTAGTCTCGCTCAAATAATCTCCATCCAAAGGAGTCGACGCTTGGGCGTTCTCATTATGCGAGCTACTTGGGATCGTCTCGCTCTTCGACTTGAGAATGCTTGCGTCGCTATAGATCCGACTTGGCACCAACGTCTTTGACGGACTTCCTACTGCATTTGAACGATGCGTTTCGCGATTGAGATTTGCTTCTGTCGAATCTTGTTGTGTTGGATAAACTTGCGGACTAACTGCTGCGATGATTGTCGTCCGTTTTGAAATGGGGTTATATTGAAAGTCTGTCTCATCCTCAATAGCTGACTGACTAGCCATACTGGGAAGATCTGGAACGGACGACCGGCGATTGTTGAGCAAGCTGACTTCTGGCGGAGCTGGAAATAAGAACTCTATCTTCTCGTTAAGTGTCATACTTTTGGTATCATTAGGTAGAATTTTCTTTAGTTCGGCAGCAGTATACACTGGATGTGGCTTTGGTGGAAGTGGGGGCAGCTCTGGTGCATCATCTGGAATAGCGAACAAAGATTTCCGGCTAAAGATTGAAGAGCCTGATTTGGTACGCCTGTGGCCTGGCAGTGGCTCATTCCCAAACATACCTGTATTCTTGTGCCTGGGAATAGGTCTCGCTCTGTCAATTACAGACTCCCGTGGTCGAAATGTCGAAGTATAAGGAGTCAAGGGCGAAAGTTCCTGCAAGGACTTTTGTTTGGAATGGCCAGGGGTTCTACTGATGATAGACTGTACTATTGTAGGATTATCATAGATGATGTCATTCATTAACATAACTGTTTCTGGTTGAGGGACAGCATTCTGTCGGGGTGGCATTGAATTCTGAGCTCTAGGCATAGATGGTAATCCGACGATAGGTCTATAAGTCTGCTTCTCTTCCAGGGTTTCTAAACTATTAATTCCTCGTGGTGACCGACGTCGCACTTCCTGTGCAGGAGAAAGTAATGCAGAAGTAGAAAGTCCAGAATCCGCCGTCCACTCTTTGGATTGATATGGTGGTCCTTTCCTTGCAGATTCATTGGCTTTGTTTAACATTTCTTCTGGCGACATTCTTGGTCGTAGGGGAACTGCTCTTGGAGTATTGAATGGAGACTTTTTGCTGGCCATTTCTCTTCGCTCGCGATCGTTCATTATAGCAGTCTTAAGATCGATCGTGGCTATCTTGGCAAAAGGCGTATTAGGATCCGATTCATCACTGACTATAGGCCTCGAGATAGCCAGACCTCGAACGGATACTTTCGGGCGTGCAGAGGAGGCTGAATTGGATGCTGCTTGGCCCGAAGCCAGTGATGATGCAGCGAAAATGGCGGGAAATACACCACCTGGAACTTGTGCTGCCCCTGAATCTCCATCGTCGTCGAGTTTCGTGAAGCCCCGTACATCTCTCTGAGGTGGCGTTGAGGAAGGATTGACTACAAAAAGTTGATTTTTAGTGCCAGTGCGACTAATTATTGGGGATCCTTCAGCGCCTATACCGTTCTGGAATATGCCTCGAGATGATGCCATCGGGCTTGTAGAGAATGGAGATTTTGCACCGGCGGTTACAGAATCCTCTTGCTTCGGCGACAACAATGCCACCGGAAATATAGTAACTATGCCTATAAGATATTGATATTAGTACATCACGACAACCATAGATGATCAGCACCCACCAACGAGCACAAGGAGGCCATTTGCTGGTACGACAGTTCGTACGATTAGGATAATGCTAGGTATACCAAGAATCATGGGTACACTGGTCTAAACTTCCTGTCAGTAACGGCGTTGGAAAAACATTTTAAGCACATACTACTGTCCAAACCGCAAAGCCTGCGATGACTAGCAATAGAGCTCGACTCTGTACTTTTCGGTCTTCACGTCGATCCCCAAACATTCCCAAAGAGCCGGCCTGGACGAGCAAAGCTCCAACAATAACAAGGTCCATAACTAGAACTACAATTGCCACCGGTATTATCGAAGTTTCGGCGACACATGTAGGTGAAAACTGAGGGCGAGTAATTCCGACCAAAACGCCTCCCACAATCAATCGGACAACCAATAGTCCTTGCAAAATAGCTCGAATGACGGTGATCTTCGTTCCATGCCCAATCGACCACAACAAAAACTGTTCGATTGCCACCCTTGCCAACTGATCGAAGCCCGTTGTAAATATTAACCCAACCTGACAAATTCCGGCACCCGTCGTCGGCATTAAGAGCTCTAGAAAACCAATCTGTGCCCATAGAACAGAAAACAACAAGAACAGAACGAGGACCAGCCTCCGGCCGTCCTTGAAGATATTTGAACCATGACCCCTAGCATATATAAGTAAAGCGCCTGTCGCTGCCTGCAGAAGAATACCACTTTAGTGATTGTTAGTGAAAATGACCAAAGAGATTTGAGGTTGATAGACTAACAATGAGAAAGCAGCAGACAGCGTCTGAATAGCATCTGGTATAGCCATTACGACACAGCGACAAAAGAAATTATTAAAATGTAAAAACCCCAATCTATGGGTGTAAAGTTAAGAATAGAAAATCATGAGTGAACATTATGTTCCTTGCTATCAACGCGAGCTCATGTTCGGCGCCGGCGTCGTCAACAACAGCAATTGTTAATATGGAAGATGTTTAAGGTTGATGAAAAGTAGATGAGACTAGAATACAAGACTGGTGCATACTAAGGCTGCCATGTCTCTAGCAGTATCGTGAGATTGAAGAAAACACCGAATGAGTGGGTTCCTAAACGACGATCAGGGCACCAAAATCTACTCAATTTGGAATGACGGTCCCGACTTGGACAAGTGTTGAAGGCAACTGTAACGCAAGCTCTAACAATGACAGGTACCGGCATTGAGAGAAATGAATATTCTTCCAAAGGCTAAAACTAAAATAACAATAGTCATTGGACAAGTGCACATCGTGATAGGGTTGGTGTTGTTCTGTGCGTCGATCTTACTAGGAGGCACGGTTTCGAATGAAACTTACTAAGTCTCAAAGCCACATGGCCACGACCTTCCTCTGGGGTTCCACGACTTTATCTTCGACGAAACTGCCAGAGAAGAATCAAGTATTGAAGTGATTCGATGCTTATCGAGTTCCAAAAAAGTAAAAATGGAATAGAAGGATGAATTAGACGAATGGAAATAATAACGTTGTTATAAGGCGAATATGTCTAACCTTTTCGTAACTCACTTATTCGGTGATCTAAACCACTCCAAGAGCTTCAATAATAGATCACCGCAATCATTGCATATGAACTCGAGGCAGTGACAGTGTGGGGAATATTCGATAACAAACAAGTAGCTTTGCTTCGCCCATACTCAATTTTCATGTTTGCCCGGTGGCGGAATGTGCTCTACCCTGGGATTCCAACAGACTTCCCCCTTGTATCTTGATAAACAACTCTAGCCATGACGTCCGAGAGAGTGAATACCAATTTCCCAAGGTCAGTGAGTCTTCAAAGAATGTCCACTCCCGATGATAGTGCTGGCAAGACTGGATTATTGGTGCTGATCGTGAAGGATTGCGAAGCGTAGAATTATGCCAAGGTTCTTTTTTTCCAGTTGAAACAACTTGCTAAGCACAATCCCTCGGCCTTCACGGTCTATGATTTCTCGAGGCGAAATCTCTGTTTCTAGTACAAGCCAAGGTGTATAATGGTAGGGTTGTGATACTGCTGTTCACAGAATAATTCACCAGTGAATTTTAAAGATACATACTTCAAAGATATAATTAGAAACGTCTAGAGATGACACTAGCGCCGGGGCATTTATAAATGCCCCATCACGTGGAGATACCCATTTCGGCCAATCGTAGGACCTGCGACCAGCTCCAATAGAATTACTAGTTCTAATTGGTTGATCCCAGCAACGATTTGGTTTGTTGAAATTGTACAACGACATCCGTTTCTACAAAACTGCTTCTTCCTGTTATGAGCTTGAGATTCTTTACTTGTTCGGTTGTTGATTGTGACCGACCGAGCGTGCGCGCTCTTGGTGGTTGCGATTCATGCTCTCAATACTTATGCAGCATTCACATATTGCCGCCTTTTCACGGGTGCAATCAGGTGAGGAAAAATACCGTCTCATTAAGTCTGGCGAGAGTGTAAATTAATGTTATCAGGATCTGGACGATGCAGCGTGGATCGCGCAGAATGAAGCTGAAATCACGCGCCTCCGATCAATGATCGATGATGAAGCTGTATGCAAACACGCTTCAAGTCTTAATAGCGGGCGAAAATGCACCATCGAACATTTTTCGTTTGGTGGTGATGAGAGTTTCATGGGAGCCGCTAATTACCACGCACGTATACGATTTGAAGATGGCTCCCCATCATGGTTTTTACGAGTTCCCCGCGTTGCGACCTGCAACACTGTCTCTATCTCGCTGATAGAATATCTTGTCTGCAGCGAGTATGCCACGTTGAAGTTTCTCGAGACGACTGCTGTTCCCGCCCCACGTGTTTTTAGTTATGGGTTGGCAGGCACAAACAGAGACCATGGAGTCGGCGTTAGCTTCATCCTTATGGAGGAGGTAGCTGGAATATGTTGGTCTAGTGGCGAGGCAAGCAAGGAAGAGAAGGCAAAAGTTTGGGCTGGTCTTGCGAGAATTCTTAAAGAGTTGGAGAAGCACCCGTTTGAGAAAGCTGGGTCCCTTTGCTTTCATTCATCTCAATTACAAGTTTCTAAGTGTGCGAGCGATAGGTTCCTTGTACTTGATCCGAGGGGCCCGTTTTCAACTTCTACCGAGTATTATAGTGCTTTTGCTGAGCAGTATCTGGAGCTCATCGCGGACGGCCAACTCTACACCGAGTACCCAATCAATGCCTATTTGGTGTACCGCTTTCTGAAGGACAATGTTCATCAGTTCAAGCGCAGTGTTGACAGCGATGGTGTGGAGAGATTCTATCTCAAACATGTGGATGATAAAGGCGATCACCTATTCGTTGATGATCAGCTAAATATCACTGGCATCATTGACTGGCAAATGGCACGTGTGGTGCCACGAGAGGAAGCTTTTGGTCCTTCATTAGTTACTGCAGATATGCAGGCGTTTTGCGGAGGTTCGGTACCACTAAGTCTAGACGACAAGGTCTTGCTTGATTTGCTTCACAAAGGAGGTATGACTGGATCAACTAGCGACAGCGCAGATGAGAAAACCAGGAGGTTTTTCTGGGGTCTTGCCCTTGAGACTGAATGGAAATACGCACTTCCTCTAGCTACCGCGATATTGAAGTGTTTCGGGGTCGAAGAGAAGTGGGACGCGTGGAAGGAAAAAGCTCTGAAGGAGTATGAGACCGATGACGGACTTATCAGACTCGTTGGCAGCTAGTTTCCTTGCAGGTTGTACTCTGATTCCGCCAACTTTTCAAAATTAACCGAGAAGCAGTCTTATTACAAGTGGTTATCAATGTGTCGAATTCCTGCAAAAACTCTCGGACAATTGGGAAATTATAATCAACAAATGAGCTTTGGATGATCAGTATCACGTGCTTTTTGTATTTCCGTACGCCAATGCATCATCAAGACTTGCCCTCCACGAATAAACTCTTCCCAGATCACATAAGCTACAAATACATTTTACTTGAATAACGATCCGGATATTATGATGTTCACAATGCGATCCACATATATTCATAAAGTCTGATTTGATAAAAATATGTATTCCACTCAATCACCTCTACTTCAACCAAACCCCCACGACCTTCTCCAATCCCTCCTTCAGCCACCCCGCATCAACATCTGTCTCGGTATCAAACCCATGGTCTGCGCCCTCTTCAATATGTACCATCAACTCTTCCCCTCCAAACGCCTCCCGCCATTTTCCAGCAAACTTCGTGGTGCCGGCAACAGGTAAAACGTCATCCTTCTCTCCGTGATATAGCCAAAGGAAAGGCATCTTTCTCTTCACCTCTTCTCTAGATATCTTTTCGAGAACTCGGAAAGGATATACATGTTCCTCTTGCCCAAACATCTCTTTGTATCTTCCTTGCTGCAGCACCACAAGAATAAGTTGCAATCTCTCCCATGGATCTTTTGTATCGGAAACAAGCTCCCGTTTACTTGGATCCTTCTCCATCTTTTCTAAATGACTGTCCAAGATCTCCGTGGGAAGTATGGGTGCACCAAAAGGATGCTTTTCAAATTTCTCGCAGAACCACTCATCTTCGATATCTAGTTGCGGATATGCGGCTATGCATACTTTTATGGTATTTTCCGGTTCGGTTAGTGAAGATAGCATGGCAAGATGCCCACCTGCACTATTGCCGTACAAGAGAGTGTGAGAAAGGTTGGCTATGATATTGGGGGGAAGAGAAGATTGGAATGAGGATGTACGCATCCAGGTCCAGAAATCGGAGATATCGGATATCATTTCTGGAGCAGTTGATTCTGGGAGGAGTCGATAGTTTGGCGCGATAATGATGGCAGATTCTCGAAGCGCGAGGGTTAGGAGGTACTGAGGAAACCAAGGAGCGAAAACTCCTGATCCGGCTACCTAGATTGTGGGTTAGTATCTGTAAATTGGAAGGGCATCCGAGAGCTATTTACCGAACCGCCACCGTGAATTTTCACGATCACAGGATGGGGCCCAGGAGATATGTTTTTGGGTACGAGAATGTAGGCTTGGATTTCATGGTCTCGGACTGTCTTGTAGGTTTTGACCGAAACGTTGAATTGAGAGAACTTAGCAGAATCCATAGTGGCGATTCAAGACAGGCGGAATAATGTCTAGAAAATCTTTTGAGATGAGAAATATCTTGCTACTTATAAGTTATGGGTGAGCTGGACCTCAAGGAAAACGCTGTCAAGTATATTATGCTTTCATCTTCTGCGCAGATCAAATTATCGGTGGGTCATTAGTTGTCGAAACCTCATCGTCACTGTTTATTTAAGAATGCCGAGGTGGGATGCCGAATGAATTTACTAAATGAAATCCTAATGTACCCCATATTCAAGCACTCATTGCTATGGCCATTATGTTATTTCTTCCCCAGATTATCAATCGAATGTCCGAGAAAGAGGGAGCCGTTGGTTGATTGCCCCACTTTCAAGAATTACGAGGAGATATCCTGCTTGTTAGCGGGCCAAATCCACCTTTCTCGGGGAGTTAACAACAATCGGACTTGGCAATCGTTCTATTTTCCGACAGAATCCGACTTAAATCATTCAAAGTGTTTTGATCGGGCATGCGGAGAAATTGAGCATAAGATGGTGCGTGGTCGAGGAATCTGAGACTCTGTCTGTCATTTGAGTTTACCAGTATTGGTTCGAACATCAATGATGAAAGTATAACAAAGCAAAAACTTAAAAGCTTCTGATGGATCCATCATTGACGTTTGACGTGTAACAATGGGAACCATACAGTCTTTACACAGATAGAAAAAGTCAATAATTGGTGCATACCTCATGAATTAACTCAAAATCGAATACATTGACGTTGTCAAAATATCTGCGAGTATACTCCAAGGTTTTATTGAATCATAAGTATAAGAGCGTATGACAAGTTCACGAAGCTAATGTTGAATCATAACGCTTCCATTGTCGTGAACTATCGATGAGGAATTTTACAAACCAATATTTGTCGACATTGTTGTCGCTGTGTGTCACCTGGCGGACCTGAGTCTTTTTGAATCTTGAAATAATGAGAAGAGAAATGCTTCTGACCAACTACGATTGGACTAGATACAAAAGATGTACAAGGCACAAATAAAACAGTCATGAATACCAATGCTGGGAGAATAACAATGTTGAGAGATCTAAGAATATGAAATGGAAACATGCGAACGGATTAAGACGCATGAAGGCGTATCGCCATTGAACGGCTACTTTATATAGCTCGAGCTCTGTCAAGGAAGGCTTTTTTTCCATTGTACACTGACTACATCGACGAGCTTTCTAAGTGAAAGATTATCAAATCTCCATTCCGAAGCTATTCGCTCATTTGGCGAAGGACAGTTGGAGGTGGCACAACAACTAAATGACAGCTCTTTGTGGATCTTGAGAAAGATAACCCGTTTAAGACGGCATCTCCCCCAAAGTTGACCCATGGCTTCATTTGATAGCGTGAACTACACTGTCTTCAAAGCATGTACGCTTAGGGCAGAATGATTGGTTGAAAGACACCAGATTCAGGGCAATGCGTACACAAAACTACCCACGCATCCAGCGGAATTCCTTCGCTTGTTACGCATGGTGTACCCAAAGTTTAGTTTGACACTTTCAGCCGGATCACGGTGTGTTTCAGATGATTACATAATTGAGATTTGCAACTCCACTTGGTAGGCTTCTCGAAGTAGTCGTTTTGGCTTCTTTAAAATCGACTGAATGAGTGATACAACAGTACTCAAATTCAAGACATGGGTAGAGACCACATCAACGATATGGAAATATAATCAAAATGGCACCTCAGTCTTACGAGGTCCTGAGGTTAGAAAGTCTACCTCGTAGCTAATGAGTCATTAGGGTTCGTTCTTTATTCACTTGTTACTTGCAATTGTTCACCCCGCGTTTTGGCAAGAACAAGCTCCTCGACTAATTCCTTACCTACTCGTAGCTTGGCAGATATGGATGTTCTTGGTGTATTCGATTGGAACGGATCCACTGTAATTTGCCGTACATAGACCGGTACCTTTGAGCTTCTCCTTTAAGCTTCTCCTTCTCCTTTTCTTTCTAGTCGTCCATGGAGCGAAGCGAAAAAGCCTCCACGGCAGTGGCCTAGCGGAGCGTCATCAATCAATACTATGAAGGTTTCTGGATTTCTCAAAGCCTCGTTCTCGCTGGGCTGGTTGTGTTTGATCTCTTCAAAAACATAGCTAGTACATCGTACACACTGTTCAGTTGTTGACGACGTATAAGATTGAATGAATGTCCAGCTTCAAGGTGATATCCAGGACAATAATTGCAGTTAGATTTCGTGGTCGAAGAGGGAGAAGAAGAGGGAGAAGAGGGAGAAGAGGAAAAAGAAGAAGAAGGAGAAGAAGGAGAAGAAGGAGAAGAAAAGCAATAACAATCATCATAATAAAGCGATACCTGGGTATTATTAATCACGGAGTACCAAGCACTTGATGAAGAAAAGCAATCTTGGAAGTGATCTATTTTCATGCAACATCTGTACCTAGTATCCATTCTAACTTCTGACTTCTCTCGTGCACTTGTCCTAATATAGCTAGTCTCCTTTCGTTTTCGACTAAATTCCTGCGGAACGGCCCATCATACGATAAAATCAGACCACCACGGCTTATCGGTCGATAATCCAATATATCCCAATTTCCCCCCCAATTCCCCCAATGCTCACAAATTTGACAACAAATTTCATCCTCACAGCAAAAGATGCGTATGAACCCGTGATCTGGTGAACTCTCTCGACTCTCGACCTTCCTTCTATACCACTTTCCCTTCCTGCCTCCCTCTCATTCACTTCCAATCATTTCAATCATTCGCAAGCTTGTCTCAATTCGTACATTTTGTGTACATTTCAATCCTTGTCTTATCTGATTCGATCTTCAGAACTTTCCCAATTATCAAACCACTTTCTCCCATTTCTCACCACATCCACATCCCCATCCCCAGATTCCACATAACATAACCTATTGTATAATAAGACACCTTTCGAGGTGACGTGCCAAATCATGGTATCCAAGAATTCTTCTTTCGATCCGACGTTGTCGGGAATCTCAGCCGGTCTCGAATCTTCCAATGAATTTGATCAAACAGCCATTTTTGCAGATTCACTAGGCCTCGACGACGATCCTTTGTTTCCAACAAATTGGGACGAGACTACCCCGCCCTACGACGGCGGACTATATTCGACCCCGTTGAATTGGGACCCCCCGATGCCGAAACAAGAAGACCTTCAAGATATCGGTCCAAAGTACAATAGTATGAACTCGAACGGTGGACTTACTGCAGCTCAACAGGAAAAGCTGCGCGATATTGCCATGCCACCTCACCTGCAATACCAAAACCAACACAGTCCAGTCTCCATCACTTCCAAGACCACTTCTATCTCCTCACCCGAATCACAAGATATGAGTCGCAAGCGCAAATCCTCCGCCGAGGTCGACGATGAGGACGACGACGAGTCTGGAGGACACCACCCACCTGCCAAGAAGACGACGGCGCACAATATGATTGAGAAGAGATATCGCAACAATCTGAACGACAAGATCGCGGCTCTTCGGGACAGTGTACCAAGTCTGCGGATAATGCAAAAGAGCGCTCGTGGTGAAGTGACAGCTGATGATCGAGACGAATTACAAGGTTTAACTCCGGCTCACAAACTGAACAAAGCTACCGTAGGTTGTTTTCTTATTTCTTGTTTCCAGTATGCAAATATGAGTCGATGTATCTGCGGATATGACAATCAGTTGGACAACATGTCATGCGAGTCTCAAAATCACGCCACTATTTTATGTCTTCACTTCACATCCAGGGCTCAAGCCATGCTAATCATTCCTCTAAATAGGTCCTCTCCAAGGCCACTGAATACATTCGGCATTTAGAGAAGCGCAATTCACGTTTACAGGATGAGAATAATCAAATGAAGACACGCATCAACGCTTTCGAGAAGCTCTTTGTCTCTGGATCGATGGGTTTCGGTCCCATGCAACAACCAATGAATCCATATCAATACGCTCAAGATTTCAACACACCAGGTCCTTCACCTTCCTCCGATCAAGGTATGATACCTGTACCAGACGATATGCGCAGACTACATGGGCAAATGAGTCAAGAAACTTTTGCTGTTCCCACGCAATACGTCACTCAGAACCGCCAACCAATCGGTCCTAACGCATGGAATGGTGGATACTTTGGCAAGCTCATGGTCGGCTCTCTTGCTGGTCTAATGATTGTGCAAGGTTTCTCAGAGGCAGAGCAAGAGACGGATACACCTGGCGCTCGTGGTCTCATGGCCCTTCCTACTCACTTCCTTAGAGCCTTGAGCCGTGGTCTTCATTCAATGTTGGAGGTCAACTTCCAGGGATATCACCTGCCAGCAAGCCAGACTATACATTATCTTCAATACTCTCTCGCACTCGGTCTCCTCCTCTACATCTTCTTACCTTCGTTGTTTAGCCCCAAGCCAAATGCCAAAGGTTCCAAGTCTGCTAACTTAGCCGCTGCACCTTCACTCGCCTCTTCTATACAAGTCAGAAGACAGGCTTGGCTTACAGCCGTTCAAACGGTCTGGGTGCCAAGACACAATTTCTTTCTTGAGGCAGCTGCTTTGTGTATGAAGGTTGGCAAGTTCACCTGTCGCAACATTGTTGGACCTTCGCTCTATTCTTTTTTGACTGGTACCACGGAAGAGCAAGAGATTGCTCGGATTAAAGCCTGGACTATCGCTCTTGACGCACAGCTGACTGGTGGCGATGTTGAGGTCAGCAAAAGCCGTTTGACACTGACTTTATTGGCTTCTGGTACACTCCCTGACACTCCAGCCCGCTTGATGCTCAAAGCACTACACATTCGTGTTTTGTTATGGGAGCTAAACGAGATTGGATTTACTGGATCTAAAATCATTCGAAATTGTGCTCAGGAAATGGCTAGATGGAAATGGAACGAAGCAAAACAAATGCAGCAAGTTCTTTCTCAGTCCAAAGAACAACAAGATGAGCTACCCGAACATCTCGCTACCCTTCTTGAGCATAAGTGCGATGATGTCTTGGTCGATGCCGTTGTACAACGTGCTTATAATCTTGCATGGAATCTACCCACCACCAGCAACACAAAGGTAAACTGTGGTATGGACCGCGTGGTGGATGATTTTGCTGTTCGGAGCCCTCTTGATGCTGTCGCAGCTTGGTGGTCAAGTCTTACACTCCACAAAGCCTTGGCAAAGAGTCTGGAGGTAGAGGATGAAGACGTTGCAAGTTACAAAACCATTGCCGATGATATCAAGATTGCCATTCAAACAGCACCTCCTGGATCCGGAGCTCAAATTCGTGCTCTCGTTGCGCGTGCCGTTCTCGTCAAAGAAAAGCGTGGACAAAGTATCGCTATGGCTCTCAAGGCAGTTGGTGCAGGACAACAAAAGATGCCCGTGTCATCAAATGTTAACATCAAAACATCTGTTGCCAATTTACCAGACATTCGAACTTCGATCCATTGCGCAATGGCCCTTGCTTATTTGGAACGCTTTCCTATGCCAGCTAATCCTGAGAACGCGCCAAAAATTATCGACTCTATTGTTCCGGTCAATCTCACTTTACTTGGTTTCACGGCAATGTACAAGCTTGTTGAGAAGATGCATGAACATACTTTGATTGCCTCGACCTGTGCTACTTCGTTGGAAAAATTTGCTGGCAACCTCAGAATTTGGATCGGTGGCACAGATGGTGAGAAGAGTGGTTTGGAGACTGAATTGAAGAGAGAAATGGTGGAGAAATGCTTGACCATTACTGCACAAGTTGTTGGCATGGAAAACGATGCGGGCTATGGTAGCATGAGTGATGACGGTGACAGTGAAGGATGCTGATGATTATTTTCATTTTTATTTTTCTTGCAACTTTCTTCGAAATCATGGGTTGACAAGACCTGACAATGTATATTGTCCGGCACAAAATTTTGGCATTTGGAACGGCACAAGGGGTATTATTTATTTTCCTTTTTTAAATCGTCATGGATACCAGGTAAGCGAATGTCGGGACTGATTGGCGTTCGAGGTTTGATCTAGATGCGATAGTATCATAGAGCACTGCGTTGCGCTGCTTTGGTTTGTGGTTAAATGCATAGGCTCTACTTCAATAAAAATTCTACTTCTCGTAACAGACTCTCAATACAATTATTTATCTATTGATTTGCCCCTCCATTTCTTCCATCTTCTCTCAGATACCTACCTAGGTAGAACAATCTTTGCTCCGATACTCATAACACAGGTACTCCTGTACAGCTATTCGATGACCCTCTCCATTTACCCACATTATCACTGCCCAGTCTAGACTAACATCCAAAGTATTGACTAAAAAAGTCTCTAGAAGTAAATTATCAAAAAGCAAATAGCAAGTAGCATTTCCGTTCCTTCTCCGGCAGAGAATGGGAATATTGAACGGCATCGCCAATTGACCAATTAGAGTCAAGGTTAGCACGGGAAACTTCTTATCTGCTATCAACAGCCCCACTCCACGGAATGGGATGCTCAAACACTTTTCTTATCGGGAATTCTTTTGTGGTACTGCTGGGTTAGTTAGTTGGTTGCATTGGTACTAGGGGATGTAGATAGATAGGTGTATGTATATCTGTGCGTGCTTTCTTTCTATGTGATAATGTGTTGATAGCAGATGGAATGGGGTGGATGGGTAGTTAGTTGACCGAGGAAATGTAAATGTCAAAATTGAGTTGGTGAGTTGGCGAGGGAGGTTTGTTTTTGAGGGGGTTTGATTGGTGGGTGGGTGGGTTATGGGGTTGTGGGAACGGGGGAGATGTGGGAATGGAAGTTGAAGGGTTTCCGAGGAGGGTTTCTGAGGGGGGAGGACGGGGGGTGTTGGGTGTTGGGTATCGATTGATTGGTTGGTGAGTGGTTGGCGGAAGAGTGAGGTAAGGTTGGATGGATTTGAATGGAATGGATTTGTCTGGTTTTGATATCGATTTTGATTTTGATTTTGATATCATTTTTCTCGGTATCTTTTGATGCTCTCCTAGGGTTGATAGAGAGATTGTGGCGGGCTTGGAGATAAGTGTGTGGATGTATGTATGTATATATCTATATACTGTGTACTTTCCTTACTTTACTTTACTTCTGATCTCTTGTTTTCCTTGAATTTTAGTATTCTTCTTGGGAATACATATATATATATATACACGTGTGTGTGTGTTTCATTTTCTCTCCTTCTTTCATCGAAGCTCAAGTGAACACTTTATTGCTGGGCAGAAAGTGTATTAAATATACTTTTATATATATATATATATATATATATGTATCTACGTGTTTGAGGCTCGATCGGGATATACTCGTACAGTGGACTTCTCTTCAGTGCATACGAAAATAATCTACGGATTGGGAAATTATACAGGTTCCTTTTTCTTTTCCCGGAGCAGCAGTATCGACATGTCGAAGTTGCAATCGCAGGTTCCGGTTGAGGTGGTGCAAGATGTGAGTAATAAGAATGAGGGGTTCGACGGGGTAAATGCATCTGGGAATGAGAATCCAGGCGCGGAGAGAAAGAAAGTGGTGGTTGTTGGGTTGGGGATGGTGGGGATTGCTTTTATGTGAGTTTTCATTTATGGACTTATTGGATATGGGGATCTTCGTTGAAGGCATGGTTAGATGAGGTTCGATTCTGGGATGTATGCTAATGTTCAATTAGAGAGAAATTGATGAAATTGGATGCGAAGAAGAGGGAATACGATATCGTGGTTATAGGCGAAGAATCACATCTCGCATACAATCGAGTTGGTCTGACGAGTTTTTTTCAACATCGGATTGTGGAGAATTTGTATCTGAATCCGAAGACTTGGGTGAGTTTTACTTTTTGGTCTGGTAGATATTTTTGAGTGTTAATGCAGAGATCAGTATGCGGATGTTCCGGCCGGGTCCCTCAATTATCATATCAATACCAAGGTTGTGGAGATTTGTCATTCCAGCAAAAAAGTTACGTGTGCGTCGGGCGAAACGGTCGCGTATGATATTCTTGTTTTGGCTACGGGATCTGATGCCCTTGTGCCGACGCAAACACCCGGGCATGATGCCAAAGGAGTTTTTGTGTATCGAACTATAGAGGATTTGGAAAATCTTATCCGGTTTTCGGATCAGAAAAAGGATACACATGGGCTTGTGGTGGGTGGAGGACTCTTGGGTCTCGAAGCTGCGAAAGCTATGATGGATCTGGAGAATTATAAAAAAGTACATTTGATTGAGCGGAATAAGTGGGTGTTGAGTCGACAGCTTGATTCTGATGCTGGAGGCTTGGTGGTGGAACAGGTGAGAGGATTGGGTTTGGATGTCATGTTGTCCAAACGAGTTGGCAAGATCGAGGTGACGGAGGAGAATGAGGTGAAGGGTGTGGTGTTTGAAGATGGAGAAGAGATGGAATGCTCGACCATCTGTTTTGCCATCGGTATCAAGGCTCGCGACGAACTTGCCCGTCAAGCAGGCATTAAATGCGCGGAGCGCGGAGGAGGAATCGTCGTCGGAGATGATTTGAGTACGAGTGTCAAAGACGTCTACGCGATTGGCGAGTGTGCGAGTTGGAAGAATCAAACCTTCGGATTGATTGCGCCGGGAATCGAAATGGCAGATGTGTTGTCTTTCAACTTGACACAGGCAAAGATACATGCGTATCGGAAATTTAAGCGACCCGATCTCAGCACGAAGTTGAAGTTGTTGGGAGTGGAGGTTGCCAGTTTTGGGGATTTCTTCGCGGATCGAGATGGGCCTAAAAATTTACCGATCAGAGCGGCGAGGAAGGATGAGGATTCTTCGGGTTCTTCGATACAGTTGACGACTGAACCTAGGCCGTCACCGGTTAAGGCACTTACGTACAAAGATCCTTTCCAAGCTGTCTACAAGAAATATTTGTTCACCATGGATGGAAAATACCTCTTGGGTGGTATGATGATTGGAGACACGAAAGATTATGTCAAACTGGTGCCTATGGTGAAGAATCAAAAGATGCTAGATGTACCACCTAGTCAGTTTATCCTCGGAGCCAGCAAGGAAGGTGATGAAGGTGGAGACGACTTGGACGACGACACTCAAATATGCTCATGTCACAATGTCAGCAAAGGAGACGTCGTCCATTCGGTCAAGCAAGGCACATGCAAAAGCATCGGAGACGTCAAATCATGCACCAAAGCCGGAACGGGATGTGGTGGCTGCATGCCCCTGGTAACCAGCATCTTCAACAGTACGATGAAGTCCATGGGTCAAGAAGTCAAAAATCACATCTGTCCCCATTTCAACTACTCACGCGCAGATCTCTATAACATCATTTCCGTCAAGGGTTTAAAGACCCTCGCGGAGGTAATGCGAGAAGCGGGAAATGATCCCGAGAGTCAGGGGTGCGAAGCGTGTAAACCTTCGATCGGATCGATCTTCAGCTCGCTCTACAACAAACACGTTATTTCGCGTCCGCTGCATGGGCTTCAGGAAACTAACGATCGTTTCTTAGCGAACATCCAACGAAATGGTACGTTCTCTGTTGTGCCACGAGTATCTGCGGGAGAAATCACGCCGGATAAGTTGATCCTTATAGGAAATGTGGCGAAGAAATATAATCTCTACACTAAGATTACCGGCGGTCAGAGAATCGATATGTTTGGAGCGAAGAAACAGGATCTTCTGGCGATCTGGAAGGAGCTGGTAGAAGGAGGTATGGAATCTGGGCATGCGTATGCGAAGAGTTTGCGGACGGTCAAAAGTTGTGTGGGAACTACTTGGTGTCGGTATGGTATTGGAGATTCGGTGGGGATGGCGGTTCGATTGGAGGAGAGGTATAAGAGTATTCGATCGCCGCATAAGATTAAGGGGGGTGTAAGTGGGTGTGTGAGGGAATGTGCTGAGGCGCAGAATAAAGAGTAGGTTCCTCATTTCTGGTTTTGATGGTTTGATTCTTGTTTATTTGTTGAATATTAATACTAATCGGCTGTCATTAGTTTCGGACTCATAGCCACAGAAAAAGGTTTCAATATTTTCGTTGGCGGAAATGGTGGCGCTACACCCCGTCACAGCGAGCTCCTAGCCAAAGATGTCCCCCCAGACTCGGTTATCTCGATCCTAGACCGCTACCTCATCTTATACATCCGCACAGCCGATAAACTGCAACGTACAGCGCGATGGCTGGAAGCTCTTCCCGGCGGGATCAAATATCTCCGCGAAGTTATCTTGGAAGATAAGCTAGGTATTTGTGCGAGTTTGGAAGCGCAGATGGAGGAATTAGTGGGGAGTTTCTTTGATGAATGGAAAGCTGCGATTGAGGATGAGGAAATGAGAGAAAAGTTTAATCAGTTTGATAATTGTGATGATCGGGTTGAGAATATGGATGTGCAGGTTGAGCGGGGACAAACGAGACCGGTGGATTGGACGAAGGAGAGCGCGAAGACGGATTTCAGGAATGTGAAGTGGACGAGTTTGAATTGGGAGAGGGTGATTAAGAAAGATCATTTTAAGGGCGCGGATGAGGCGCCCAGTGGGATTTCGGCAAGCGTGAAGAGGGGGGATACGCAGTTGGCGGTTTGGAGAGTACAGGGGAGATGGCTGGCAAGTCAGCAGATGTGTCCGCATAAGAGGGCGTTTGTTTTGAGTGATGGGTTGATTGGAGATTCGGGTCATGGCTCGGTTTCTATTCCTGGGAGTGAGGGGAAGGAGGAGAAGAATCTTTGGATCTCGTGTCCGAATCATAAGAGGAATTTTAATTTGAATGGAGAGGATAAGGGGAGGTGTAAGAATGATGAGGAAGTTAGTATAGCGATTTTTGAGGCGGAGGAGAGAGAGAATGGATGGGTTTATTTGAAGTTGCCCCCGGTTTATGAGTTGGATGGAGTGTTGGGAATGGAGAGGTGGAGGGTTAGAGAAGGAGAGGCAGGCGAAAGACAGTTTAAAAAGTTGGATGAGAAGATTGGGTTTGCGATGGATGGGGGGAGAATGAAGGGGAGAAAGCCGGCGGAAAAGAGAAGGGAAGTGAGAGTAGGGGGAGAGGGAGGCGGCATTGATTGGTAATTTGATTGGAGAAAAGTTGGGGTTGAGTGTAGTTACATGGAGTTGGCACTGGGATTGGAACCAAAATTAGGGTAGGCGTTTGAATGTTTGCAGATTTATTGTATATCGATTTTCTTCCTTGTATTTTGTTCTCTTAACACAATTGAATATATAACTTTCCACAACGAAAAGTATTCTAACAAATCTATCACACAAAAGTTAAGATGAACCCGTCGTGCGTACCTACCAAGCATAGGTATATGTACATACATCCGCCATGAATCACAGGACGAGCCAGAAACAATTCCCGTCTCAACCTTCTCATTCTTCTTACTTGTGTATCCGAAGATCGAAAATCCGAACCCATCGCAATGAAGAAAAAAAAATCCGATCTATAACTCTCGTAACGAACCCAAGACTCAGAGAACTCACATCCCACGATCCAAACGAAACAATTTCCCCATGCGCACACATACAAACCGTCATCTCTACAACTATCTATTCCATCGCTTGATTCGCTTCCGAAATGCCAAGATAGAGTGGAGAACACAGACCCGAGACTAAAACATCGACGATGAACTAAACAATTCGCCTGAGCAAGGAATTGCAAGACGCCCAAGCACCCACGATTCTGACACACGACTTGTCTCACACCCATCTGTTACAGGTTTGCAGCGCGGCAACTGGACACGGTACGGTATGGCAAATTTGCAAATGAAACCGCAGGAACGTCTGATGGGGTGGGTTTGAAGAAAGGGAAGATGGAGATTGGAGATGCGTATGGTGTGTAATGAGTGATATTAGGGATGGTGAGGAGGATGTGACAATGCGGATGGGGTGTCGAAACGTGGATGGCGAGATTTTCGTCAGAACTTAATCTTAACTTGTTTTGATTTTGGGGGGGGGGGGATGGGGAGGGGTGCGGATGGATGAATTTCTGGATTTCTTGATTTCTTTATCGCTTGGGATTTATACCGGTCGGTTTGTCTGTCGGTTTGTCGGTTTGCTGACTTCCTTACTTGTTATATACGTATCTTGGATACCTACCTATCCATCTATCTCTCCTCTCTCTATTGCTGAAAATTGAACTCGATTGATTGATTGATTGATTGAACAAAAACCCATCAATTCACACATGCACCCTTCTCATCCTCACTCCCACATCTGCAATCAGCACACCTACCATCTAACCACAACCACAACCACAACCACACCCACCCCTCCGCACCCTCGCCACCATGTCTCAAAAACCCCCTCGTATCGTCGAATATGAGCGACAGGCCGAACAGCGCGCGCGCGAACTCGACGAGATGAGCGCGGCGCAGGACCGCATGATGGAAGCCCAGATGCGCATCCAGGCCGAGGCGGATCGGATCGCGCAGGAACAGTATGAGATGGAACAGTATTATGAGACGGAGGCGTTGAAACATGCGGAAGAGATGAGGATTCATCAGGAGGAGGTGAGGAAACATGAAGGTGTGTTTTATTTATTTATTTATTTATTTATTTGTATTTTTCTCCGGGGGTTGGGGTGAGGAGGAAGGAAGGAGGGAGGAATCACGTGAAAGAATAGGGATAGGAATAGGAATATGGAAGCAGAGGACTAAGTTTACAATCAAGGAATGGAAAAACTAACGCAAATCCGCCCCTAGAATTTATGAGAAAACACGAAAGGAGACTGCGGGATCATGAAGCAAGTATGGAGGCGTTTGCGAAGGTGATAGCGATGCCGGCGAAACCGGCGAGGGCGAGACAGATTTCGTTTATGGCGCCTTCGCAGAGGGGTGGGAATGGGAGTGGGAGTGGGGGTGGGGGTGCGAATGGGGGTGCGAATGGGAATGGAAATGGAAATGGGAATGGACTTCTTATGACGCCGCCGAGACCACCGGCTGCGTTTCCGGGGTGAGGAGGAGGAGGAGAAGGGGAGGGATGAGAGCGAGAGGAAAAGGTAGTAGAGTAATGGGTGAGTTGCAGGTTAGGATGATACTCTCTTTGGCGAACAATGAAATGGATTTGCAGGGTGTGAGGAATGGTGTTTTAAGGAGGCGAACGAAAGAACGAAGGAGGATTGAAAATTCACAATGCTTGATTAATAGTGTGCGAGAGGTCGAGTCGATGACACGGTTCCCGAATCAAAAGCGTTTGAAGAATCTACGCCTGAGATGGAAATGTATTTCCCAATTGGCGGAAAGAGAAATGAATCGGCGGGAAGGATTTGTTTACCTCTTTTCTTTCCTTTTTGCCTTTGAAATATCGCGAGCAAGGAGTAAGGAGTAAGGAGTTTGAGTTGGGTTAGCGAGATTTTGGAGTTGGGGGTTTTGTTTCTTGAGGGAGAGGGAGAGGAAGCGATAATGTATACAGTATGATTATCATTTATCACTTATGAATAGAGAAGAGAATTGAGAGGGCCATGAAGCTATTTATTTGTGGTCTATTCTGTGCATGATATGCGTGAGATTTTTGCTCGGGATAGAGTGGGAAAGGAAGGGCCTTCAAGGGCAATTGGAGATTCGAGGTTGGTTGATCGTTTTGTCTGGGATTGGAGGTATGTAGGTATGTGGAGATGATAGATTTATATTATGTTTTTGCACGACTTGAAAGATTTGGTATCTTTGTCGCGACTCGCTGGGTCTGCAATAGAGAAGGTGGAGTATCTAATACATCTCCCACGATCTAGATACTGACTCTATCATTCTTGCCTCTGCCCATGCGTGAGTTTTGGATAATTATACCTACGCAAAACTTCCATGTTGCTGCTAGAGGTATGTCTGAAAGGAAAATGTGCAATGGGGAAAATCGAAAAGAGGGATAATCTATGGTCATAAGTCTGGGTAGCATTTTATGTAAAAGTAGGTAGCCAATAGAGCCGATTTCAACTGTGTATTTTTTGTGCTTCAAATACGGAATCGGTGTTTCTTGGGTGACATGGTCGCGGTACCTGGATATTCAGGAAAAGGGAAAGTACTAAAGCATAGTTAAGTGTATTATTCTGCATACCTGTCGATATCTTGCATTTTGAAGGGTGTTTTTGCATGTTCCAGTGAGTTGTGGTAGATTGAAGACGTGGACGCTCTCAGTTCCGGACTGTGGGTTGCGCACTTGCCAGGGGTTTGGAGGGATCGTGGGAGGGAAGAGAGGAAGGGGGTTGAGATTATTCGGTGTTCTTCGAAGTCCATGGATAAATATATACTTGGTACCTGGCTTCGAGAGTATATGTTACTTAGGATAGCTGAGAAGTATATTTGCAATTCGGGCATTGCTTCTGGTATTAAGGTCTGTTAGAGAAGAGTAGAAAGCTACCTAGGTACTTACTATGAGCCATTGCTAAGAACGACCACAAATGCGACTTTCTGCCCGTGAATTTTGGGACCGTTCTTGAGTTGTGAATGATCATGTAGAGCTCCTGTTATAGATACTCTTCAAATCTAGACTCTCTTTCACTCACTTCGCTCTTTTGATATATTCAAATGCACAAAGCCAAGCTGTAAACTGTAGCCCCTTCAGATTCCACTTCCCTGGACTTTGCCCTGCTCAAACTTTGGCAGCTGCAACGTGTTGAGAGGCAAGATATGACCTATACCTCCTTTCCATCGCAATATCAACTAAATCCTGACCAGATCCTCATAATCAGTGTATCTGCTTGACATGGGGAAATCTGCTAAATCGTAGAACTCACATATTGTAGTTTGAAATGTAATTATGTTGAAATTATCTTTAAGTAATAAAATTCCCAAAAGTTCGTTCCATTCCAGAATTCCATACTCAATGATTCATTGGTACTGCTATCATTGTCCTTGTTTTTGGTTGGACTGCAGGTGACTGGACTTTCTCTGGGTGAACTTCGGGTTGAATTAAGCACAATTTAGTATCGATTTAACATAATCTATAATCTCTTATCGAAACCCAAGCTTGAATCTTGAACCTTCTCATGTTGCCTTGCTTGTTCAATCTGTGTAATTTCCATCAATTGCTTCTTGTTCGTTTCGATTGTGTGTTTTCTTTGGTGTTGTTGTTTGAGCTTGATGTCGGTCGTGGATAATTGGACAATTGGAGTTGTATTTTATCCTCCAATTGGTTCTCTTTCATGAGAATGTTGAGCTGGCTTGAGAGCTCTTGTTCAATGGCAGATATGGCAACTTTGCGCGCATTGCTCCCACTGCACTACCTGAAAATCGCCAGATTTGTGTGTTTGTGTGTTCCTTCCCAGTGGTCTCCCAATTGTCTCCATTGTATGATTTGTTTTGTCTTGCAGATTGAATGGTATCTCCGCCAGCTTTGGCTTCCCATCAGTGATGTGTTCGTTCCATATTTTATGCTCCCTGTCTGGGGAATTCCCGTTCATGTCGACAACCCTCTATGTCAGTCCATGACCACCCACGTACTTGCTGACAAGGCTGAGTCATAGTTTTATTATGTGCTCAGTAATTCTTGGTGCGCGTAGTCCTCCGTTGTATTGAATTATGATGGCGATGGATGGTTGACTGCAGACTGTAGAACGTGAAGTGAGAGAGAGCTGGTGTGGCGGGGTAACTCTATGATCTATGGCACACAACTGGTCAGCACTTCTTTGGCAAACAAAACGAAAAAGATCATAGCAAGAAAGACAGACTCATCTAATATGTGCTTCAGACTGCAGTGAAGCAAACCCCTTTCATCCTGAAGATATAATCATCAAATTCCTCCATGATTGTAGTCAGTCAGTCTTCAGAAAATAGTTTTTGACCAATATTCCGTGTCAATTAACAATTAAGTAACTGTCTGTGTTGTTGTTAAAATCAGGACCGAATCCAGGACTTTGATGTAGTGAAAGTTGCTTTTATAATTGGTTTCCAATTGATTCTTACCAGTGTGGTTTGGAACTTGTTGTAATGTTTGTATAGAGTTGAGGGCATCATGGGGTTAGAAGTCCTTACCACTTCACTCCCCGGTGACCCAAGCATAGTCACCAGTGAGTTGGAATGTTAACAACTTGATTCAAATAAAGACTTGTTTGAAAACAACCGATTTTCACATTCCTTAAAACAATAGAATGACCAATTCTACGGATTCCTCCTTCTAACCTTTTAGTCAATTATGTTTATAAAGGTAAACACGTCATTGCGAAGTTCTTTATCGTATATATCTCATAAGTATCTAGATATCCGCTATTTCGTAGGTTTCTTTAGATATCTAATCGCTCACGTACTCCTTTTAACATTAGAAGTTCCTTCCTATAAGAAGTCCTTCTCCGTTTGATATTACCTTTAGTAGACTCTTTCTCATCTACTAGTAAAAGATAAAGCTTTTATAATAAGTAGTAGACTATATCTTACACGCGTTTGTATCTACTTATAAATGAAGAAGATATCTTTAAACCCTTTTTAAATAATTAAAAAATATTTTACCAGGGTAATTTCCACCTGGTTACTCTTCGTAAGGTCAATCGTCTATATTTTCCCGATTTTATCCAATCAGTAGCATTGAGTGAGTGTTTGCCGCGTTCGTCTTCAAGATGATTATAAATTAAGGACCTAGCCCAAGCCTAGATATTTCTACAACCTTCTTCCTCCACTCCAACACAATAACAAAATAGAAGTATCGACAGATATCACTTCTTTACTTCCTTTTTGACTTTTGCTGGGTTCTTTTATAAAAATAATAATTTCTTTGCTTCATTCAGCTGGTCGTTACTTCGAATTACTATTAAACTTTCCTTCTCTCTACCATGGGTATGGAGAATGGAGGGGTAGCTTCACTTGGTGGGGCGTCTGCTCTTGTAAGTCTTCAATCCATCAATTATAGCAGCTATTATAGCAATTACCATGCATGAAATGGTTGTATTTTCGAATGGATTATGAGTTTATAACTTAATCTTTGTCCTGCAGCTTTTATTGAAGGGGTTTCTCAAGAATTCTGGATTCCAAGCTAACTTTTTATCTCAGAAGGAATTGCGAATTAAGAAGGAACCTCTGCCGGAGCTTCCACTTTCTGCTACATCTCGAGTTCCTGACCAAATTGACTCCACAATTGTAAGCTCTATATCTACTTGCGAAACCTGATTTTTGGAACTAACTTTCACCTAGGAGCAATTGCGTATACAATCTGAACCGCTGTCAGATACTCAATTATCTCCTGTTCCCGAAAATACCGAAGTTTCTATAAATGAGGAGCCGGATATTAATGATAATGGCAATGTTGACATCTTATCGATTGAGCCTCAGTTTGACCCGAAAGCTGCTATCGACAAGCTGTTGAAAATTGATATGGAGCATGGATTTAAAGTCTCCGATATCAACATTGAACCGACAGCTGCCTTTAAAACACTCGACGAGATAAGAACGGCTGTCAAACTGGCAGCTGTTTCTTCCAAAAATGGCCACGAGCCAATTCTTGAGAACTGGCGAAAAGCCAAGATCTTTCTCTATATAATCTCACGCGTCGAAGACAGCATTACACCAGATATCAGGTACGAGGCCATTCTTTTGGTCACTTCTACTGTTTTTGTAGTATCCACGACGATAAAGTAGCTAACCACCATCATAGCAAGTCTCTCAAACTCAAGGAAGTCCTTGAGCTCTTTACCTATCCATTATGCCCTAAAGAATCCTCCAGCATTGCAAAAGCTCTGATCGATAGAATTGAGGCTCAAAATGGTTTCGATGCTCCACCGCCACCTCCACCAGCGGCAGCATTGACTATCGACTCACAATCTGCCAATGCAAATAAAAATAAGAAGCGAAAGTCCGTCTGTGAGACTCCTGCATCTTCGAAGAAATCTAGGAATAATTCGACCTCCGGCCCTGTAACCCCCGTTCACTTACCGCCTTCCAATCATCCTATCTGGGGAGATAGCGGTATTATGCGTGGTTGTCTACTCAACTTGTCTATCAGAAAGGATTTCGAGGCCAAAGATTGTAAGGTATATGGTCACAATGGTCTTACCGTCGGGGATTGTTGGGCCAGACAAATAGCTGCGCTTCGAGATGGTGCTCATGGTAAGTTTATTTATACAGCATCGCCAATTACCACGAATACAAACTAATCTTTTACTCTAGGTGCTCCACAAGCTGGAATCGTCGGAAATTTAGAAGAAGGAGCTTATAGTATCATGATTTCCAAACACTATGACGGATTCGACGTGGATGAGGGTGATACTATCGAATATTCTGCTCCTGGAGCCATAGATTCCACGGCAAAAGAACCTGAAACGACAAAGCACGGTGTGATAGTCTTGAGACGATCAATAGAGACCGAGAATCCAGTTCGTGTTTTGAGAAACGCCGGCTGTGCGTGGAAACATGGGCCAGCTATGGGCATTCGATACGATGGGCTCTATACAGTCATCAAGGGCGAATCGGCAACTAATGGAAAGGGAGGAAAGTATTGGAGATTTACGTTGAAAAGACTGCCTCAATTCAATGGACGTGATCAGGATCCTATCAATCTTGCTAGACCTACTAAGCAGGAATGTAGCCTCTTTGAGAAGGTTAAGGAGGGTTATTGATAGGTACTTGCTAAGCTTGGGCTACAGGGAGTTTTTGAGGGGTTTGGCTTGTGCCGGGAGATACCAAGTGCTTTAATGATCGGGCTGAAAGAATGATTTATATCAGGAAGTAATGCTGGGGTACAGGAGACGAAATTCAGATTGGTTTAGAATTACATGATACCTGATATAGCGTAGTAATAGGAGATAGAAATCATATATGTATTTTGCTTTTAAATTCTAGAATTCTAAACTCTCCTAATTCTCACGATGTATATCTCTTTATATTAATTGGACTTCGTAAGGTATATATATAAGATATATAGAATTAGAAGGTATTATTATTCTATCTATCCCCTTCGTACGAACGGGGATTGCTACTCTATGTGTCACTATCCCATCTGAGGGCACGTGATAGAATGTCACGTGTTTCGCACGTGCTCCAAAAACTTGAGATGAATGTAAAAAGATTATTAGAGTCTCAAATTATATAAACTATCACCTCAAGAGATATAAATAAAATTCTCAAATAATGAATATTTCTTAATAATTATCTAATCTAAACTATTATTCGAGATCGATTATATATATATTCTTTCAATAACTTTTAAAAGTCTAGTTTTCTTCGAGATTATAAATCGATATTCTAGAATTATAGTAGTAATAGAGATTTTGTTATTTGATTATTTAGAGTTTGATATTAGTCAGTTGTTTTAAAGTTGTTTTTAAATTTAATTAAATTTATAATCTCTAAACTTCTTTTATACTCGATTATATTCTATCTCATATTCGTTCTATCTTAAAATAGAAATATATTTATTGATTAATTTCATTTAAGATATTTTTATCTTCTCATCTCTAAATACTTATTTCTATATTTGAGATATTTTTATTTTATAATTTGAATAGGTTATTTAGATTTTTTTTATTCTATCTAGATATTATATTCTAGTATAGTTTTTACTTAATGAATAGAAGACTATCATTTTAATTAGATAGATGTATATTTATTAAATGTTTTGCTTGATTTTATATTTTAGAGTTATTATTCATTTTTTTAAATTTATAGTATCTTTTATTTTTACACTTTGTTTCTCGCTAAGAAGTTTAATTAAGAAGATATTCGATTTTATTTTATTTATTAGTTGAGATGTAATAATATCTAGTTATTATAGTCTTTTTTACTTGATACTTAACTGAGATGTTATTATATATATAATTTACAATAAGAAATAAAGTATTCTCATCTCGCGTTTTTCGTTTCTAGTATTTTATTATCTATCTCTTCTCGAGTAGTAACTCTTAGATCTTATAATTATTTCTCTTTCGCGGAATATAATTATTATCTGTTAGATTAAATAAATGAAGAAAATCCGTACTTATATATGTAGTTATATCGATTTAAATAATTTTAGATTATTAAGATTTATATCTCTAGCTTATACTATTAATCAATAGGATTTTAAATCTCCTAATAATAACTAGATTAGAGTTAAAAATATACTATCTCATTGTTAATTATTAGTAGATAGGGTTTTGAATCTTTTGATAGTAACTAATTTAGAGTTAAGAAAGAGTATATTCTAATCTAACTATTTATACGAGAAGGAACGAATGATATAGTACCTACGATGATAGGTTCTAAATATTAAAGATGTATTATGTTTAAAGACTCGGGAGCTAGCTATACATAGGAAACTGTATATCTTAATATCAATATTCGACTTAAATGTTACTTGAGCTTTTATTGTAAACTTAACTTATATAGTTTTCATCTCTCCTTCAATTCAAAAAATAAGCGAGTTTTCATATCTGGAGTTAGTTTTATTGTAGGATTTTAGATGCTCTAGATAATACTTCTGGGAATAGGAATTATTGTTTCTTCTCTCTTCTCACTTCTCTCTTTTTACTTCTCTTTTCTCACTTCTCTCTTCTCACTTCTCTCTTCTTACTTCTCTCTTCTCACTTACTCTCTTTTCACTTACTCTCTTCTCACTTACTCTCTTCTCACTTATTCTCTTCTCATATATTCTCTACAAAAGACATACTTAAATGATCAGTCTAAATCAATCATTATAAGTATATATATCCTCGACTATCAAGAAGCTAAAGTAACTTAACAAATCGAAACATTCTCAAACTCAACATTTTCCCTTCCATCTAACGCCTCTCCTTTCATAATCCCCGGGATATAGACTCCGCCCAGCAGTTCATATGCTCCAATCACTTTTTGACTCTTCCTCAACAATACAGGCACATCACACCCAGCTAATAACCACACCTCGTCCCCACTTCTTATACTCCCCAGTGTCATCCCAATATAACCACTTTCTGTAATGAAAAGCCTCTCAAAAATAGCCGCCTTTGTATTCATGACCGGATTCGAGTAACTACTTGACTCAACGTCTGCAGCTTTTTGGGGAAAAAGCTCTTTGAAAGTAGTGCCCCATAGAGGAATTGATGAGAAGGTTCGACGTAACTGGTTGAACAGAGAGATTATTGGATATCTAACCGCATGTACGTGCGGCATCTGTGGGAGAGCTTCATCGTCGGAAATACCGAGGGGAAAATTAAAGATGTTTTGCCCTTGTTTCAATCGTAATCCTACACAGGAGAGACATGAATTGAGTGCCGCTTTGAGGTCTTCCATGTTGCCATATTGGTGAGTTTTGGATATTGGTTCCTTATGGTCATTAGATTGATGCTTTCTTTCTTCATCTGAATCACCAAAGTCAGGAATCATAAATTGGCGCGGGTCTCGAGTGGAATCGATATCCTGAGGACTGTCTTGAAGACTCTTCATCAGGGTATTTTCCGTGGCCATATCAATCACATCGATCTGTGTGCCTTTGCAAACCAGAAGGTGTCGTCCTGATACCTCATCTTTTTCAAAAGATGTTTCTATTGGAATACCCGGACAAGCTTGATTTTCAGTATTTATTGACCACTGCCAGTGAGTATCATCAAGTTTCTGTGTCAAATTTGGAACCCAAGTAGGCCAGTCTTTATAACCTAGAAATGGCGTATGATATCTTCGCAATATCCACTGCAAGGATTGAGTGCTCTTAATATATGCTTCAGCTAATGATCTCATAACATCCACAAAGTGGTTGTTTGTTGAGTAGTTAACATTGATCAAATCGGTAAGCCAACTTGGTAAAAGGCTCATCATTCCATGAATTAGATCTCTCGAATCTGAAGCTTCATAGCTACTTGGGATCCGAAGCCAAAAAGGATCGTAGCCCAATACAGGCTGTCCGACGATATCATCCAGTTGAGACTCAAAAATTGCAGTTCTTAGCATGTGTAGCTTTGTTAGTCCGACATGCAAATCCCCAAACGTCAAGTATTCATCACCTTCGTTCATACTTTTCATGGGATGAAGTCTTAGGCTCATATTATTGGGATATCCAGCATTGATTCCCTCGATCAATACCCTTCCACATCGCAGTAAATTCTCCCATGAAAATCGGCTTGCTCCACATACAACTATGCTTTGGACACTACCTAGCACAATTTCTTGAAAAATCCAAATACGACTGAAATATGTCCGTTGCAGAAGCTTGGCCATAAAAAAAGCCATGTCGACCTGCATATTTTTGAGGAAATCGGCCGCTAAAGAAGCCATAGCTTGTGGCCGCTCCATTACTTCACCAATCGAATCCATAAATTCGAGGATATGACCAGATTCATCACTTTCATCTCCAAGTGTCGGGATATCGATCATGTGATCTAAGAGGGCACTGTATTGCAATTAGTGTATGTACTAGTATATATACTAACACTAGCACTTCTATTATATTAAGTACTAGCTTCCTATAGTAATAATGATTAAGTATGAATAAAATATAATAAACTAAAGTACTATATATTTTATTAATTTAAGTTGATATTAATATTAATTAGTGATATTACAAATTAGGGCCTTAAATTCTACTACAAAGTATTAAATACTTTGAGGTGATTTTTAAGATTGATAGAAATTCTGAAGAGACTATAAAGAAAGATATCATTATATTAGATATAGTATACTATCTCTTATTATTATACTAAAAAGTATATTTTGAATAATTATATTAGGAAGATATATTCAAGAAGATCGATCTGGTTAATTATAATGAATCGAGCTTGTGTTTATTATATATTAGCCTTTGTACTATACATTATATAGGGTAATCTATATATTTTTATCTAAATACTTTTATAAACATTCTTTCATCTATATCTACAACCTTCAAAATACCTATAACCTTCGAAATATCTATAACCTTTCGAAATACCTACAACTTTCGAAATATTTATTTTTATATATATTATTATATCGGATAGCAATAATGTTATAATTGTTTCTAAGATTATTAATAAGGATTTATATATAGAGGAGGAAGAGGAGTATTGTAAGGAGTAATTAAGTTTATTAAAGGAACAAAAGATTAGTGGGGAGGATGTTATAATTGATACTAGAGAGTTTATTAAATATATCAAATTCAAATACAAATAATATAATTATAAGAATATCAATAATAACAAGCTCGTTAAGGTCTTTTATAATAACTTTAATATATTTATAGATAAATAGTTTGTGAAGATTCATTAAATAGATATACAAAAGTTATGTATGGTATTATATATACAAGGAGTAATGATATTAAAAACAGATATTGAAGTATATATAGTTTTATATAATCAATCTTATAAATCTATTATAGGAGTATAAATAAAGGATTAGGTTCAGGAAATTTTGAAGAATTGTAATATTAAGAATTCTAAGTTTAGATTTGGAATAATCAAGAGATTTATCAAAAACGATTTCAAATATAATAATAATCGAGAAGGTGATGGAGATAATGATAGAAATGGTAATAGAAATAGTAATAAAAAAGATAATAAAGATAGTAATGGAAATAGTAGTGGAAAAGGAAATCCTAATGATAATAATGATGATAATAGTAGAAAAAAGGAATAATGCGATAGGGATAAGAAACTATCGATATATTCTAGTTATTTTAATAATCAATCTTTTATTAATCTATTAAAATTCTATATTGATAAGGAGAAATATAGTAGGGATGACAATAATTTCGATTTCAAACTTTTAATATTTTACGAAATCTTATGATATATAAAAGTATTTATAGATTTGCAATATAAGATGTTTCCAATTATATTTAAGGATAGTATATTTTAGTTCTTTTATATTAATTATATTTTATTATTATCGATTTTTAGGGAGCTTTATATTTATATATAAAGTAACTTTAAGAGAGAAAAGTACTAATATAATATACTATCTAAATAAAACAGTATTACTTTTAAATCGATTAAAAAGGAATATAAAAATAAGTTGTTTAATAAATATTTTATTATTATAATTAAGGAGCTGTGTATACTGTAATATCGACTTGATCCTGCTATGTAGTAGATGTTCTATTTATACAATAAACTTATACTTGTATATAAGAATATAAAGGCATACAATCTGGCTTATTTTGATTCTAAAAAGGAAATATTTGATTTAATTAATTAGCTGTAATAATCTATTAATATATAGGAGAAATTATATAAGAATAAGGAAGATGGGGTGCTATTTATTAATAAGAGATTCCGTAATAATATTAATCATAGTAGTTTTAGGGATTTTAAAGATAATAATAGTTTTAGATATAATAGCTTTAAGGGTAATACTTATAATAAGTTTCAATAATCTAATTCTTTAAATTAATATAATTGTTATTGGATATATAAGAAAGAGGGATATTAATCAATAAAATATATTTAGGAGGAATAAAATAAAAATCGTTATAAATACTAAAAAAAGATTAAGATTGGTAGTAATAATATATATAATAAATATTACAATTAATAATTGATCGAATATAAGGGAAAGGCTATGGATACAGAGTCTGATTCAGAAACTGAGATGGGCTAGTTTTTTATAGATCTTGATATTAATAATGATAATAAAGAGGAGATATTTTTTGTTAATTCAAAATCTATTAATAGTTAGGAAATATTTAATTAATTATTAATCAATATTTTTCTATATATAATTACTAAAGACTCTATTAAGATTGTTTTATCTATAAAGAATTTAATAGATATCTTTTATATAAGTTATATAAGCAAGAAGTTTTATGGTATATATATTGATATAGTTTGTATAGGAAAATCTATAGTTGGAATTGGATAATATTATATATAACAATAAATATATCTAGTGATATATAATCTATAAACAACAGGAGCTGTAAATATATACTTTGAAAAGGGGATTGTAATATTAATAGGATTATTCTATATTGAAGTATTATTTGGATATATTGATTTTTATATTATAGATGCCAATATTCCATTTCTATTAGAATTCAAGGATATAAACTGATTTAAAGTATTTTATAACAATATTACCGACAAATTTATCAATCCAACTAATTAATACTCTATTATTAGAAAATATGGATATATGTTTTTGATATAAAAAATAAATATAAATCAACTTATTCAAAAGTCGATTTGCTAGAATAACTATTATTTAACAATTATTAAACTATAATATTTATATTATCGATTTGATTATTTATTTGTATAACATTTTTATTATATATTATAATAAGCAGGTTATGATAAGAGTAATAATATTATTAAGTATTTCATTAAATATTATAAATACTATTAAATGTATAGTAAGTTATCAGAATGTTTTAGATTTATTTTATTAGAGGATATTGAATTTAATTATACTATATATATCAATATTATGTATATTATAAGAGAATCAGTTCTATATATTATTAATAAAGCAATACAATATCAAGTAATTTGATTTCTTGAAAATGTTTCAGTTAAGTATATATTCGATAGCCTTCGGGAGTGCTGGATTAATGTATATATGGAATTATTGGATTATATTATTTATAATGCGGGAAAGAATTTTATAAATAAAGAATTTATTTAGAATATAAAATCCATATCAATTATTATTAAGAGTGTATTAGTTGAGGTGTATAATTTGGTAGGGATTGTAGAATGATATTATTATTTATTATGTTGTGTATATGAGATTTTGATGAAGGAGTTTGAGGATAACAATTTAATGAAGTCAATAATTCTGTAAATGGTAGTAAAAGCTGTGAATGATATAGTAAAACTAAATGGGCTTATTTTTATGCTATTAGTTTATAGAATATATTTTAGATTAAGTGATATCAATCCTTTAATTTGATAATTATTCAATGTACAAAAGCTACAAAGAAGGCTATAGCGGAAGTATGTTATATATAAGCTAAGAGATAGGTTACAAAAGTATTCAGAATAAGGAATAGACTATTTATAACATTTATCTTTACTTTATTACTTAATTTATAAGTTTTAGTATAAAGAGAGGGTAAAGGTGATAATATGTTAGGTAAATGAATTAGATTATATATTCTGATTGAAACGGATAGGGAGATGTATAAGGTAAAATTTATTAGTGGACCGATTAAATTTCGATTTATGTTAGTATAACCTTTTTATGAAGAATCTAAAAAAGTCAAGTTGAGTAATATCAATATTATAAATAATGATAATAGTAATATAATAGTAGTTAATATATTGTATATATCTATATTACAATTATAAATATCTTTTCTAGTAATATAATTAGATATATAATTATAATATCGATTGTATAATAATTTAATTAATATAGTTAATATAACGAATATCGATAATAAATTACAATTACAATTACAATTAACTATATTTTTGTAAGATAATATATTTATATAATATAAGGAATTATAATACAAGAAAGTTGATAGTTTGATAAAAAATAGAATCTTTAAAATTATCTCAAAAGTTAGTATACCGTTTGAAATATAATTATTTAAATCTCGATTTGTTAATAAAATTAAAGAAAAAAGAATTAATAAAGTATATATAAAGTTATAATTAATAATTCAAATATATAAAAATGTGAATAAAATTATTGTTTTAATATAATTATTAACTATTCAATATATTAGCTAATATATTATTCTTATACTTATTATTATTTTATAAAAATTTAATAAGTATATTCAGGTTTATTTATGGGATATCATATAAATATATATCCAGTCAATTATGATTTTGAATAGATCTATTTATATAGAAATATTAATAAAGATTAAACTTAATAATAGATATATACTATATATTGTTAAACCCTTATATAGTATACTAAAGATAGGAAATCATTGGTTTGGGATTTATTATAATTATTATAAGGATAGATTAAATATGATACATTTATATATAATCCTTATTTACTTTATTCAACTAATTATATCAATATTATAAACTTCAAATCAATAATACTCTTATAATTGAAGATAAGAGATTTGTATACTTAGAATAAAAGAAGTTAAAAAAAGCTAGTTTATAATTAAAAATAGAAAACAATTTATCAAAAACTATTTATTCAAATTTAATAATAAATTGATTATTTTTAAAAATAATAAAATTTATTTAAATTAAGAAAAACAATATAATAATTTCAGAATAATTATATCAAGAAATATCGATATATATAGAACAAAAAAAAAAGTTCAAAAGAATATTATTTTGAAGAATTAATATATTGTTTAATATACAAAAGATGCATATATTATAACTATATATCAATCGAAAATATTATACCATTTCTCTATTATTGTTTAAATAATAGATCTAAAAAAAAAAGATATTATTAAATTTAATAAAATTATTAAATAACAATAGATAATCCAAAAAAAGGATTTATATTTATATCTCTTGATATAAACTTTATTGATTTAATTATTTTTATTGATATATTTTTTACTAATAATATTATCTATTATTACAAATCGATTACATTATATACCTTATAGATAAATATAGTAATACTAATATTATCTACTGGATATTAATCAAATACAAGAGAATCACTAGGAGTGTACTAGCTTTAAACTATATACACTAATTCTAAACTTTAATATTAAAGTTGCTATTAAGAGTACTATCAATGCTATTCTCAAACCTAAAAAGTAAATACTACTTATAATCTATACAGATTCTAAGTCACTATATAACTTATTAATTAAATTCAATACAAGCATAGAAAAACAACTTCTAATCAACATTATGATTTTACAATAATATTATAAAAATAAAAAGATTACAAAGATTAAATGAATTAACAAGAAATCGAATCCTACAAATATTATAACTAAAAACAATATATATCAAGCTTTAAAAGATTTAATTAATATTAATAAAATAGTTATTAAAATAATATATTGAATAGAAAGAGAATAATAAAATAAAAACTAAAGAAATAGAATATTATATTTAAAATTGAATAATAGGCTTAAGCTTAAGCACATAATCCATTCAAACTTAAGAGTTGCTAGTATCAGAATATTAATTATATAATCTAAGAAGGTATTATATTGCAACTAGTATATATACTAGTATATACACTAGTATTAGCACTTTTATTATATTAAGTACTAGTTTCCTATAATAATAATAATTAAGCATAAATGAAATATAATAGACTAAAGTACTATACACTTTATCAACCCAAGTTGATACCAATACCAAGATATGAGATCACACGACTGGCCTTCTGATAAATCTCGCTCATGCGTCTAACCTCGAAGTTTCTTTCTTTAATATCTTGTTGATTCATACAAAGCGCATCAACCCAAATTCTGGTTCCATTTGCAATGTCTGGTATCTCCCGTAGTGTACGCAAAGCTTTCTCAAGATTTTTGCCAATCAGAACAGGCACGCCATCCACAACAATCTGGCGGTATTCATTCACATCATTACCAAAGCTGCCAAAATCTGCATCGATTCGTTCCGGTGTCATATTGGCTTTCTCGCTCGTTGTTTCAAAAGTTGCCTCCAATTCTGCTCTCGTAAACCAGGCCTCCATCCCATGATAATCCTTCCCCAATATTGATTGTGGTGTTTCATTCCAAACATAAGAGAGCGCATACTATGACAACGATTGGCACTGGCCTTCATCGCCGTCTGAAAGAGCCCAAATGCAAGTGACAAGCCATTCTTTAAAGGATTTTTTGTTAAGGTTAATTCCTTCAGGTCTCCAGTTCTCTAGTGCTTTTTGAGAGCTTTTGTAGTGCTCATATAGCGCTTCTTTCCTTTCTTTGCTGAGCTCGTAATAGCTCTTTTCATCAATCGATTCACCAAAGCTGAATAGACTTCGGGATAATTTTATGTCGTCAATTATTTTAGGATCATCTGAATCATCCATCATCAATTTCATAAATGAAAACAGGGAAGCCTCTTCTAGGTTTGATTTAGCTGACACGTCTGAAAGCAGCTCATATTGAAGCTCACAGCGAATAGGATCGATTGAGAATGCGAGAGGATCGGAATCTCCATGTAGAGAGTTACTCGGAGGGAGAATTTCGAGAAGTCGAAACTCGTTTTTCTCACGGTTCATGGGCCGATATCTCGGACCAGATGCTAGCGGTGGATTTGCAGCATCCATTTTGCTCACTTCCTTGTCGATATGGCGAGCAAATTTTGGTACTTTTCCCAAGGAATAATAATCAAAGGTCGAGTTCAACTTGAATAGATGAAAAAATTCGCTTGTAGCTTCGTGGGTTTAAATAGAGGTCCTTGGTTTGTGCTAAGATATTGACATAGCTAGGAAATAAGGATAACGGCTCATTCATATATATCACCAATGTTGTTTAAGCCCAACGAAAGCTCAAACCCCAATACCATGCGTTCCAAGGTTGGGCGTTTGAATTCCTAAAGTGAATGTGGCTGCAGTTTAATGTAACGCTAAAATCTTCATGTGGTCATAATAAGCTAATAGGTCAGGTCGGATTACACTTATCAAGATAAGATATGTGGAGGTATTTATGGCGTATCATGCGGACATTTTTGTTCAAAACGATTTTAGATGATAATGATCAGATTATTTATATTATCTGATAAAAGTTTTCATCTGATAAAAATACTATTATTATCTAATCATTATTCTATTATTCTATTATTCTATTATTCTATTATTCTATTATTCTATTATTCTATTATTCTATTATTCTATTATTCTATTAGAAAAGAAAAGAAAAGAAAAGAAAAGAAAAGAAAAGAAAAGAAAAGAAAAGAAAAGAAAAGAAAAGAAAAGAAAAGAAAGAAAAGAAAAGAAAAGAAAAGAAAAGAAAAGAAAAGAAAAGAAAAGAAAAGAAAGAATAAAGAGAAAAGAAAAGAAAAGAAAAGAAAAGAACAAAATTAGAGATTAAAAATAATAATAAGAATAATAAAATTTACTATAATTTCAAATTAAAATTAGAATTAGAATTAGAATTAGAATTAGAATTAGAATTAGAATTAGATTCTTAATTAGATTCTTATTAGAAATAATTATTCTAAAAAGATTCTTTGGTTTCCAAATTTAAATATATTTTATGATAATTTATTTCTTTTAATAAAATAAAATATTAATTATTAAAAAAAGAATTTATATTTAATTTTATTCTTATTATTAAATTAAATAAAAAAAGAATTTATATTTAATTTTATTCTTATTATTAAATTAAATTTAATTAAATTTAATTAAATTAAATTAAATTAAATTAAATTCAATTAAATTAAATTAAATTAAATTAAATTCAATTTCATTATAGATTAGATAATAGTATACTTTTTTTATTAGATGATAGTAAAGTATTATATAATTATTTTAAATATCAGATAATAGCTTTCAAGATCGAATTATAGTATATCAGATGAATAAATCGTTCTGAACAAAAATGTCCGTATGACACGCTATAGGTATTTCCATATAAATGAATCGAATCTTACTATCATACCTAGGTACCTGACAATCACCTGTTATAAAATCTCTAGTATTACTTTCAGATTCATTTTTAACTTCTTTTCTAATATCATCTTTAGTTTCAATCTTATATTCAATTACTTTCTCTTTTCATTTTTCTTTTTTCATTATTTGTATTTTAATAACTTTTTCGACTTCTACTATTATATTATATAATTCTTATATAGAAATATAAAAATATCCCTTTAAAATCAGTCTCCTTCCTTTCTTATATATTATATATTTCTTCATAATAGCTTATAAATTATTTATATTATATTAGTGAGTAATACTTTAAGCTTAAAGTTACTTACTTCTAATTATCAATTTTTAAATGTATTAACGAATTATAGTTGAAAGAGTTATATTGTTCTTAATTATCGAATTTAGAAGATCATATGCTGTTTATAAGATCATTATATTTGAAAATGAGTTATTAATAAAGACTTAATTAAAAATATTAAGTTAAATTTAGTTCTTAGATATTTCGACTTCGGGAGGTAAATTCTTAATCTAGTATATAGAATACTTTTTACAGATTAAAAAATTTAACCTAGCTTTTTATCATATAGATTCAATGTTTTAATAATAATATATATCTAATCGAGCTTTAATACATAACTTCATTTATTTAATCTTATATATATATAAAAGGGCATCCGGGAGCAACTGTAAGGGCGTACGTACCCTCTGGGCACGTGACCGGCTATACTAGCCGTTTTAGCTAGCTTTTCAGTATAAGTTGAAAGCTTCGCTTCCAACTTCCTTTCTAGTTCTTCATCAATAACTACATTATTCAATGACAACTCTTCTTTCGTTTCCGAATCCTTTCACAGCAACATCAGCATGTTCGGCATCGAATACCTTCCCATGACCAGTAACAACTTCATGAAATGCAGGTGGGCAGTATCTGTCAGGAGCACTGTCATCTAAGCACCTACTCCAGAAAATGTTCGCTCGTACATTGCTGTGCGAATATCGTAAATTATGGTTCGTCCAAATATTCCTGGGGTGAATTTCCAGGAAACAAGGCGGACAGCCCATGGTGCAAGATCGTATTCATCTTTCCAGAGGACTTCACGTGCTTCGGAAACATCATTTAAATAGTTGTAAGAAAGGGTACCATGTGATATCTCATCATCAATCTCGAGAAATGGAAGATGTCGGAGAAGAGCAATAACTTCAGGCTCTCATCCAATCGTGACGAGCTCCTCCTTGGGAAGGTTTTGATGAGGAGGCCGCCCGATTTCTGATTCTTCAATACATTTCATGCAACGAAGAGTTTCATAAACTTGCGTAATGCCATTTATAAACTCCCCATGTTGTGCATTGACGAAATCTTCCGTGAAGACTGCGTCGTTATGCTTGAGATCATGAGACGGGACCTCGCAAGATTGATAGGTAGGAGATTTCTGCCATGGCACCTCGATTCTAATTTCTGGTTTCTTACAAGCCTCTTTTAACGAGAGACATGAAGAGCCTACCAACCTATTTGTAAGCAACTCTTGCAATACTAGCGTAGCTCAGACCTACAAACAGGTAATCCTCCATCACATGTTGCTCCATTTGAAGCACATATCAAGCGCTGTCGAGCGGGGAACTGAACGGAGGCCATGTTAAACCCAGCGATAATTGTCGCTAGAAAACCTATACTTATAGCTATATATATGATTCTGAAAGTATGCATAAGCATGAAAGAATGAGTAAGCGAGATTGACAGCCAGAAAGTAGGCGCATGTTAACTGAACACACTGGCCAACTGTTTGGTCTAAGTCTATCTAAGGCAAAGTTTTATAGTATTCAACTCTTATATTTTCAAACTAGTAAACAAATCATCCTTTCTTAAATAATGAATTACTATTATCTGAATATAAATGTATATTTCTACTTTAGATTATAAGCATGTAGTGATTTAGATATATAATAGTCGGCTCTTAGAAGCGGCCTCCTAGTTCCTAGTCGGGGAAAGCGGTTGTCCCTGGAAAGCGGTTGTCCCTGGAAAGCGGTTGTCCCTGGAAAGCGGTTGTCCCCAAAAAACTTGATAAGGAATTTTATTCAATTCTTAAAAAAAGAATACTAGATTTCACATTATTGAATTGCTATAATCTTATTGAATTCAATAATATAATCTACTATATTTAATTTTAACTTCATCTATTATAACAAAAATAATAAATAAATGATAAGAATTAATATTTTATTAATAATTATATAATTTATAAAGGTTATAGCTGATATAATTCAATTATTATGATATTTTCGAAGTTTTTTGGGGACAACCGCTTTCCAGGGACAACCGCTTTCCCCGACTAGGAACTAGGAGGCCGCTTCTAAGAGCCGACTATTAGTACTTTACTAGAAGATTCGAAATCTATAGATAATTAAGCAAAGTCTCGCGCTATATGAATAAATACGAAGGTATAATAGTATACCTAGGTACTTAACTATCTAATTATTACGATTGATCGATACAGGGCTCGAGAAGATATATGATATAGATTTTATAGATCTATCCTAGGCTGATGTTAGTTTGAATGTAATTATAAAATATAGGATTTTATGATCTAGAAAGAATTAGAGTATCTAAGCTAATTAATTTATTGTTATTATCTATTCGAGTATCACTAGTCTTCTTGAATGAGATATCCATTTGTAATTATCAGATCCTCTTCTTATACTTTGTTAAGAAATCGATAGATATCTTCTTAGAAAGAGATATAAATAGTCGATTACTCTTTGAATCATCGATACGATATATAGTGATTTGTAAATTTTTGTAATAATAGATATGCTAGGCTTCTCTCCAGCTTTAATATCATTCGATATAGTCTTCTATAATCAACTAAAGGTTTAATATAAGCTTTATAATTGATATTTCTTAGCCTTGAAAATTTGTAAAAGAAGCGAGATAGTTCAAGACATCAAAATGTTAGTTAGTTAATTCATACTATTAATTTACATTTTTCAAACGTAAACATATGCTATTGATCTATTATATGATTCTCGTATGCGTCATTTTGAATATAATCGTCTCGCTCGCGTCAATTACATCTAATGTTTCGATATTAATATATTAAAAGAATTATAGTCATCTCATTAGCTAACAACCCTGAATTTGATAGCGTCTTTTAGAAAGCTTGGTATAAATTTTCGGCCGAAAAAAAAGTAGACTATCTCAAGTTTTTAATATAAGAACAATTATCTAGTCATAGCGTCGAAGTTAAAAATGTAAATATACAGCTATTAAAAGATAATTTTTTAAACATTTACTACCTAAATATTATATTGGACTTATAAAAATATGCAAAAGTACATCCTATTGTAAAATGATATAAAGTAAATTATAAAATAGCTATTAATTTGTTATCGGCTTTATATAAGATAAGTTAGTTCTCTTATTAATAAAAGAAAATAGGAGACGAAAAGTATTCGATATGACTACTATCCTATCCGACTTGGATAGAAGTTTACTTGCTCGGCATCGTCAATTAGCACCAACCGCGGCGGTGCGGGTCTGTCCCCTGTGCCTACCTAGACACCGTGATCTTTAGCACTTACATGAACGAATGATCTGGGTTATGTAGCAAAGAAGAAAGCCTTGAGAATTTTAACACTTTCTACGAGCAGGGGGGTCCAATTAAGTTGTTACTTTTAAGCTTTAGCACTTTAATTTATTTTAAAGTCTATAAAGCCGATATGAGCCTACCGTCTCATATCAAAGATGTTTACGGAGGTACTAAAGACAAGTCTTATCGCCACCTTTTTCTACCACGAACAGTTCCATTCGGCATAATTAAGGTTATTAGAAAGCAGTGTCATCATTGAGCCATGGTACTTTCATACCTCCGTAATTAAGCCAAATATCCGGGTCGTTTCAATCTGGCAGAGGCCGACGACTATTAATTTAGACTCTGTAAGGTTCAGTGGGAGAAACGAAATGTTTATAGGTGTCGGCATTGCCATTAGTACATCCTGCTTCTAAGTACTCACCGACTTATTCCTTTTGGCAGTCTTTGTCTTGGACATTCTTTAGTAAGCATCTGTGCTTCGCCTAATATGTCATTAATACGACCTCTCTTTCTCGGCTTGGCGTCTGCCGCAGCCCTCATCTTACCATCTGCAGCGCAAAACAGCAGCACCGTTGTCTCTATCCCTACCGAGTACACCTACCTACTTCCAGCGCCGTTTGAGGGTAACCCAGCCTTCAGCTTCCTCAACAGTACCACCACCTCAGACGAAGATGTCAACACTCTCCTTCAGTCTGCTAAGACTGCACCATTTGTGTCCTATGACAACGAGTTCCTTGCCCTGCTCGGCCCGAATCCATCTGCCAACCTCGTCGAGGAGCGAGCCTTGAACTTCGCTGGTGAAGCCGGCGTTTGGCTCAAAGAGCGCAATGAAGTCTGGTACACCACTTGGATTAACGACGGAGCAACTCATGTCGAGATTCTCGATCTGGCCAGTAGCACCACCCGCAACCTGACCACATCCATCCCACTTGAGAACCCCAACGGTGGTTGTTATCACCAAGGTCTCGTCTACTTCACCTCTCTCCGCGATGACACCCGCAACTTCAGTGGCGGTGTTTACTCCGTCGATCCTAGCACGGGTGAGGCCAAGGTAATTTTGAATTCGTATATGGGCCTAAAGTTCGACGCCATCGACGATGTCGCTTGGGTCACGCAACCAGGGACCAATCGCTCATTCATGTACATCACTGTCTTGCCTTCCACTGTTGGCACTGTGACCAACGGACTTGCCCAAGGTCTCTGGAGATTCGACCCAATCTCCAAGATTCTTGCGCCAGTTATCAGCCGAACCGATTTTCCCGTCGCAAACGGTGTCCGTCCTTCTGTGGACCAGAAATCCATCTACATCACCGATTTCGGTGGAAGCCCCCATGTTCCTGTCTGGGGCCTTCCAGCCCAAGTTGGAATTCCCGGCGTTTACAAGTACGATTTTGATGCCGACATGCTACCTGTTAACCGCCGTGTTTTCAGCGTAGCCCGCATGCAAGCTCCAGATGGAATCCGCGTCGACGACAAAGGCCGCGTCTGGACTGGTGAGGGTGAAGGTGTTATGGTCCGTAGCCCTGAGGGCAAGCTTCTTGGTGTCTTTAATGCTCAGTTCTTCACCCCAGACCCAATTAACTTGGCTATTGTGCAATTTGCTCTGGCTGGCGATATTCTTGTCATTCTTGGCATGCGTCAACTGTGGACTGTCAAGTTGTCGGAAGTTGTAATGGCTGCCAGCAACTAATTTTTAACATGTATCTCATTCCTCTGTGTATTTGTAAGTTAGAGAAAAGAAACCCGAGAGAAGAAACTTAGGGATAGACAAAACGATAACAAATTTTTTGAGTTAAATTAACTGCTTGATATAAAAGTCGTCCATATGAGGGCTGTACGTGCAATACTGGCTGTGTTTCATTTCGTTCAGTCACCAAGGGGTGTCAAAATCGATGCAACATTTGGAAAATTAGCCGAGAACACTTAATATTAACGAAGTTTTATTAACAGGGCCTACTATTTGAATGCGAAATGTTTCCTTTTACCCCTGGCCTCCTGTTGTGGTTTGTCAATCAAACCCACTTGAGAGCTCAAAACTCCGAATATACACGGCAAATTATTAGACTTTCCCATCTTTCCGACCGGGCAGACAAACTCCGGAAGCAGTGAACTAACCCTTTTACGCATCTAGCACTTATAAATCTGATCTTTGCCGAACCCCAACTCTTTAAGGATTCCTTGACTCCCATTCCGCTCGCCCAGGAGCGACGCTTCCATCGCCGGCGGCCCGCATACAAATACCTTCTCAGGCACATTTGAGGTTTTCGATAGAGCGTCCTTGATAAGTTCTTTCGTGACTCGGCCCTTGAGGAAGACCGAGTCTGGGCCAGGGTGAGTAACGGTGTAGACGACGCTGAAGCGGTCCGGGTGAGTCTTTGCAATCTCGTCAAATTCGGAGCGGAAGAGGGCGTCCTCATCGGTGTTGATGCCGAACAGAAGAGTTACTTTGGTCTTTTCAGAGGGATTGGAGAAGATGCCCTTCAGGAGTTGAGCCATGGGGGTAATACCTCTAGTTATAATGTTAGGGCTGTGCTGGATAGGGCTGAATCGGATGTCCAAGTGCTTACGCCCCACCGGCAATCATAACGATGTGATTGAATTCATTCTGCTTCCACTTGTACCCGCCTAGAGCTGCAAGAACAAACAACGAATCTCCCGGTTTGAGGGAATGGATGTGCTGGCTTGCCTGGCCTCCTGGGTAACGCTTGATTACCAGATCTACATAGCCAGGTACATCTAATATTTCCAGTTAGTTTATTTTTTAATCGGATGGAGACAGTAGCGTACTTAGATCGCTGATGGGTGTGTAAGGTCTGACTACCGGACGCCATTGGCCAGCCTGAAAAGAGATTCGAGTCAGTATTGATATATCACAATAGGGACGGCGGTGACTTGTGGACTTGATCGGAGTCAACAGTGGTCGTCACTCAGAACTCCAGGTCCGTTCCAGAAAGAAGAAGGCCGCATGAGAATACGAACAGGTTTTGTGAGTGTTAAAAGAGAGGCTGCAAGTTCACGTGTCAGCGAGATACTGGGCTGATTCGGGGGGGGGCTCTCAAAGCATACAAATTAAGGATAAGCCACTGACTGAATCTTCAGTAGGCAAGCTGAACCTAAAACGACTCGAGTCGTGGTTCAATTTCTCGACGCTGTGTAGCTGTAACGAAGTGAAAGCTGGACCTCCCCCGAAAGTCTTTGGCGGCGACTGCTGGTTATTCGTGCCTTGTTCAGTTTTTTTGTCTGAAATCGAGTAGTAGGTGAAAGCTCCAATTGTAGTGGCCACGGCCGTGAGGACCAATGGATTTAGCTGGCTACGTATCACAGGGGGCGCTGGTCTTGTGAAGATTTTGTTCAACATAATGTTAGTGGAGTAGTGGGTGACTAGAGTTGTGATTTGAGGGTGTATTTTAGTCCAAGTTTATATTATGTGTGGATGAATGGTCGAATGATCTTGGGTTTCAATAAGCTTGCGGTGATACGAGGAATGAAAAGGGAGAGGGTTTTTCCCACAAATTTATATAGTATCTAGAGATGCCATCAGTAGATCCTTCATACGATTTCGCTAACCTGAGCCGGTCTTTCGGACTTGGAACGCGGGTGGAGTCCACGCATGTCTCATGACTTTTCAGCGAAGAAAAAGAAAAGTTACGGCCAAACGGAGTATGGATGTACCATCGTGCCATAGCAACAAACATGACGAAGACACACAGCATGACAGCGCACAAATATTGCGTGCGCGTTGCGTTAGAGTCTGAAAACAAGATAGCGAAGGCAGCTTGTAGCTAAGCGCGCTCGAAGGCGAGAGAGCATGCTCTGCGCACCCTCTCTTCCCCAAATTTCGCGAGCACATAGTTTTCGAAAGCTTTATCAATCACATGATTCTTATTTATTACATAATCAGATATTTAGTTACCCGTCCTTCTCCGGCCTAGAGGAAAAATCTAAGTATAACATTCAACAGAGATAATTTTATGGCTCAGCTAGTTTTTTGTTCAAGGGATCTCTATTTTGGATAGCAATTGCGGTAAATCTGAGATTGCCGTAAATGAATGACTAAACCTGATAGCCACGTGATCCCGTCTTGTATATCCGTAATGTTTTCATCTTTATATATATATCGTATTCTTTTAGAATATTAGCCGCGCACTAGAAAGGACTAATGCTTTAAGGTTAATTTAGAACCAATTAGCTCGCTTTTCAATGGAGTCAAATGCCTCAGAATAGAAGTTTTTAATAGAAATATTAAATATTTGATAAATAATTCATTAAAGAAACGAATCAAATAACTTTAGTGATTACTGTAACTCTAACTTACGAAAAACTCAAACAATTAGTCCTTCCTAGCGCGCGGCCAATATTCCAAAAGAATACGATATATTTATATACGGAGGTTGAATAAGTAAGTAATATAAAATGTATCTAAATGTGCCCCCACTTTTAGCCTTTGGACGAATCAAATCACATTGCTGATTGAAAATTTATATAGTGAATTCTAGGTGGTGGAAGTATTGTAAAAGTTATTGTATATTTTATATAAAATTATTTACTTTTTTATCAAAACTATTAGTTTCAATTAGATTTTGAATTCGAATTCTTATTCTAAGTCTATTTAGAACCTATAGAAAGCCTCAAATGTTTTAAATATTATAAAGTTATTATAATTAATAAAAAATATATAAAAGCTTTTAATATTGAATTTTAAGGGGGAATAGTTTAATATCTATTTAAATCGCTTAAAGCAGCAGTAGAATCTATAAAAACAGCAAGATTTTAATAAAAGTAGAGTTTATATTAATTACCCTTACAACCTTCGTACGGTAATATCAAAGTATTTAACAAGGTGTAATAAGTGGACCCGGCTGTAACCCGCAGTCTAGGGGATAGGCCTCGGTATATCGGCCTCGGTATATAGGCCTCGGTATTAGGGGATAAGGTTGACTGGGCTAAAACCCAGAATGACCGAAGACATACAATGAAAATGTCCGACAATTATTCTTGCGAAACCTGATTGAGATACCTATGGAAAACAAATCGATGGGAAGATATGAATCAACATCTCGCTCTAGTTTAATATACCATAAGACTCCACGAAATCAGCCACTTCATCTGTAATAATTCTAGTAGACTTATACTTGTGATGATTCGACCCGAATCGCACCCCCCTTTGTTTGTTCATTGGTTTTCGTCAAGGTCCCATGCGTAGCAGTTTTGATAATATGAGCTTGGCAATTGCTGTATTCTTGAATTCACTTGAAAATCCTTCTATTACTTTACTCCGTTCAATTGTAAGGTATGTCGACTTTAACGCTGTCGCCGGTCACCGCCGCCCCCCCCCTTCACACCGTCACATCCAAGAGACCTGTCAACAAGAAACGACAACTCGCGCCAACTCCAGCTTTGATCTCGTTAATCTCCAGTGATAAGCTGATAGACCCTTTCTTTTCATTTTCACAAATATACATCTAGATTCTCAACAAGCCGCCAAGGGAATATACAGACCTGATATACTTCCTTTCATGGCTAGCCCAGCCAAAATGGGAAGGGTCTCCTCAGAAAGTAAGTTTCCGGACAGAAAGAGACAAAAAGACTGCAGCATAGGAGTTTTTTGGTCAAAGTGTAAACAGTCTCCGAAGGAGATATAGTAGTCTACACTGACGGCTCTCTGATTGAGTTAAGGGATATAACTTATATAGGTGCTGGTTGGACAGAACTTCAAGGAAAGATCACGCTTTTCAATGAAAGTATGCTCTTAGGCATAAATTGCGAACTGTACGACGCCGAAACTTTCGCAGCACTAGCAGCACTAAAAGCAGCCATGTTTTCACCAATAACTCACCTGTCAGATCGAATCATCATCTGCTTCGACAATCTGACAGTAGCTGCTAGGTTACTACATACTACTACTGGCTCCAGCCAAGCCACTTCTGCTGAATTTAACGACTAGCAAACACTTGGGCTAGCGGAGAAAGAGCAGTTTAAACACAAGCAAGCAAGGTGGAGGTCTGATGGTACTTAGGGCATTCAAAGATTCCAATAAATGAAGTTACAGACAAGTTGGCAGGAGAGGCGGCCAGGGCACCTGTAGTGAGCTCAATCCTAGCTACCCTGGCTCATATACCCAGAAAGAGCAAGGCTTCAGCACTATAGGCTCATCAGACAACCTGGCACTCAACTTCCCCCAAACTCTATCAAGAACTAGGGATTACAGTATGCAGCAACCCACCAGATCTCGCTCTACCACGAGCGAGCTTGAGTGGAATGTATGCTGCTAGAACAGGACTTGGAGATTTCGCAGCATATCACAAGATTTTCCATCAAAAGGACGCTTTTCTAGGCCAACAACTCGGTAAATACCGATCCGAGTACTCTGAATGAGATTATAACAACTAGATTTAGCTGTCATATATAGAGAAACAACTATTGGGTAGCTCGTATGATCATGGACCTAGATTATGTAGAGAACGCCGGTGATTTCAGCCCAGCACGTCCTATTAGGGCCACGTCTCGCGCGGCGGGCGCCCCGCCAGACGAAAGATAAACAAACAAGGTCACTTGGCCACTTGATGACCTTATGGATCGTAGCAAGGATTTGACCAGGACCACGACTTGGTTTCTTCACACAAATCTTGGTGAGGAAAGAAGGAGAACGTTGTACTTTTTTAACCATACGGGTTAGAGCCTGAAAACACTGTAATCAGGATTGAGCCCCAGATGGACTACCCCTCACTTCCACCACGCAAAAAAGACCGGGTAACACCGGAAATCGGCACTTGACCCCCGGTACAAGCCCGCTTTCCATTTTGTGTGCATAAAAATATGTCACCACCCGGTAGTTTGGGTGTGGACCACTGCCGGCCTCCAATTGGGGAAATGCTATGTTCGGATTGCGGACTCTGTTAATAGTCCTTTAAATGGTATGTGAGTATTATATAAACTACTTCCTTCAGCAATAAACTTCATCTATCCCCAAACAGAATATATGTTCTATCGAACTACATCAATGTCGACAATGCTGCCTCAAAATCTGTCTCTGCCCTTCGATAATATCACAGCAACAGTCGTTGTGGCCACCGCAGTCTCTACTGTAAGTAGGCAGAGACTCTTTCCCCCCTCATCCACTGCGGCCAAACACTCTTGATGGCTTTAGTTATCGATGTTCTCACACACAGCTAGATTATACTTTACAATGTTTATACTAATCCATTGTCTCGATTACCGGGTCCTTGGTATACGAAATGGACATCAGGTGTCCTAAAGTATATCATTATCAAAGGAACGAGACCTTTGTATGTTCACGACCTCCACTGCAAATATGGTAAGTCCTCATCTAAACCGTTATACGACTTCGGCCATTCGTACACGTTGCTCATCTTTGCAAGTTCGATTGTCAGAGTTAGCCCGACTGAAGTCCACGTTTCCGACATCGCAGCCACAAAAAAGATCCATAATGTTAAGGGTTCTTTCAAAAAGTCGCCTTGGTATAGGCTGTTCACACCTCCAACGGTCTTGAATGTATTCAATACTAGCGATATTGAATTTCATCGAAATCTTCGACGCCTTCTTTCATCGCCTATGTCGGAATCATCGCTTAAACATGTAGAAGTTTTCATTCGTCGGAATATAGATCTTGCAGTGAGAGGCATTACTGAGGAAATGTCACAACGAGGTGCAGGGGATGTTTCCAAGTGGTGGATGTTCATGGCGACTGATGTGATTGGAGAACTCAGCTTTGGCGAATCCTTCAAGATGCTGGAGTCTGGTAAGGTAGGTGCTGCTCCTTTCTAACGCATGTTGGCGAATCTAGAGGTTTTGGTTTTGAACAAAAGTCGCAGAAAAACCAATATATTCTGGATATCGAAGCAAATGGGTCTGCCGGAGGCATTCGAGGCACCTTCCCATTTATGGTGAAGCTATCCAATGTGATCCCACTACCTGCTCTCAAGGCGGCAGCTGCATCTGGAGAGCGGTTACGGGAATACGCGGAACAGTCGATTGTGCGATCGAAAAGAGTGGCTGCAGAGATGGAATCTTGTCCAATGCTTCTTAAGAAACTTTTTCGCAGCGATGAAAACGGGCTGTCTGATAAGGACATTGTAGACAACGCAATGTTATTCATCGTCGCCGGCAGCGATACGACAGCCAACACTATGACGTACCTGACGTGGGCTGTTTGCAAACATCCTCAAGTGAGAGATGCATTAGTGGAGGAGCTCCATTCTCTTCCGCCAGACTTCACTGACCAAGATCTCCGTGGCTTGACGTGTCTGAACAATATTATCAAAGAAACTTTGCGATTATACGGCGCCGCGCCGTCCGCCTTGCCCCGCATGGTGCCAGCAGAGGGCGTTGAGTTTCTTGGTCATAGATTGCCAGGAGGAACGACTGTATCCACCCAGGCTTACACCTTGCATCGCAAATCGGAAATTTTCCCGAACCCAGAATCCTTCGAGCCTAGCAGATGGACGAATCCTTCAAAGGAAATGAAAGATGCTTTTATGCCTTTCGGTGGTGGATCACGAGGTTAGTTTTGACACGATTAATTGTCTTATACAGAGCCGAAGTGCTAATAGTTAAATACAGTCTGCTTAGGACTGCATCTTGCTGAGATAGAACTTCGCCTGGCCACTGCAATTTTCTTCCGTACACTTCCTTATGCTAAAGTTTCTACACTTGATGATATGAATGATGGAGATATGGACCCTCGTATATTCTTCGTATTGTCACCAAAAGGCAAAAGGTGTTTGATCTCCAGAGAATGAATTTGAAAGCTATCTTATAAAACAGTAATCTTAGCGATTATTCAATTGTTATAACTCAGGTCAAATGGCCATTAGAGGAACCTTGAGCTCAGAATGAAATCACCTGTATCCAAAGGTACTTTCAATACCCGTTTCAATACCCTGTAGTGGCAGAATCCGTGGTTAACGAAGTGATCGCTTTGTTAATTACAATGAAATGTTTAATAATCAATCTTGTATTGAAAAAAGCGTTTTTGTGGTATTAATTAGATTGATACAAATCTTTATATCTTGTGAATTTTGTTTTAATCATTAGGGTTTTAGTGAATTTCTTGAAAGTGAGTAATAAGAAGTGGAAATCTTTTCCCCTTTAAACTTTCGGTTAATTTCTTCTGCTTACTTTTTACTTTTCATATTTATTTCTTTTTAACACTTTTTAATCTTCTCCTTATCTCTAGACATATATCTTTCTATTTACTTTTACTTCAATTCTAATATTTAAAGATTCTGAAAATTCTAAGCTTCTGAAAGACCTTCATTTTTTTCTATTAAAATTTAAAAATAAACAGATCTCAAAATTTATTAATTTTGTTTGTTATTAGTAAATTAAACGTATTGTTAATAATACATAAAATATTAATATTATAATACATATAATAGAAATTTGTTTGAAGATTTATATTAGATTTCTTTTCATTCCGAATATTAACTTTGCTACTATATGAATAGAACCCTTAGCCAGCAAGCATGTGACTTCTCCCGCCAGTTCTCATCGTTCCCAGCGCTGGGACTTGATAGGCACAATGGGATAGTAAACCGCGATGAACTATATATTGCGTGTACATTTCACACAGAGCCTGAAACAAGATAGCGAGGGCAGCTAAGCGCGCTTGGGGCGAGAGGACACACTTCGCGTATCCCCTCTCCCTCTCGCGAGGGCATAGCTCTCGATTATACAGCTAATCAGAATTGTTCCAATAGTCATTTGTCAGGGTACTTGAGCTTGGGTTTTTAAATTTATGTACCTCGAATTCAATCAGATTGTTAACAATTATGGATTGTATTTTAAAATCCTTTTACTATTGTTTACAGTACTTCATACTGATATAGTAGTTCCAGGCATATTTTTATTTTTATCAAAACAATTGTATCTTAGCGGAACCCTATTGATCAATAATAATATCTTTATTGAATGAGAAAGAGAACGAGAACAATTATAAAAATGGTTTCTTTCAGACACTAAACCTTTGTCTAATTCTGGAAAGACATCATTATTACAATGCATTCTTACGGCGGGTTAACTGGGAGCAGTAGTATTGAAGATCTCACCAAGTTATATCGAGAATCATGCAGGATGGGACTTTTTGAGCGCGCAAGAGGTATCCTTATTGATAGTAAGACTATCTTCATGACTCTTGATATTGAAAAGTACCTAATGAAGCAGGGTCTCGAAGGCAGTTCTTTCGATATAGTTGTAGCTTCAAACGTTCTTCATGCAGTCATATTACACAAGGAAACAATGAAGAGTGTCACGTCATTATTAAAGCCAGGGGGCCACCTTCTACTTCTAGAAACAACAAGACAATGGTCAAGAAGTCAATTTGTGATGTGTGGCTTACTAGGCTGGTGGCTTGGTTTTGACGATGGCCGGAAATACGCTTCTATAATTGCAGAACGCCCATGGCATACCCTGCTCCAGAATACCGGGTATTCTGGTCTCGACTCAAGGATAACCTCAAGAGCTACTAGCGTGAAGCTAGATACTATACAGACAATAGCGTAACATTGTTACTTGCCAAGTTGCCATCCAAACCACATCACATAAGATAAACTACGAACAAGTTTATATTTCTTCATGACTTCGCTTCCGCTGCAGCTACACCAGACTTCTGATATGACGGTCCAAGATGATCATCTAAAACACATATAACCAACCACCATAAGAAGCATTAACGCAGACGACAGTCCCGAACCTACTCGACGATATCCGCACCAAACCACTTCAACCAGAAAGTCAGGACAGGGTCTTCTCTTGATGACTCTCTTCATGACATGTATACCCGAATATTTTAGCTGCCTCTCCGCCTACACACATCTACCTTTCAATCCTCACAATATTCACAGTGCCTTCAGCGCACCCACAACAAAAAAGACCAACGCCGGGACATCCGTCATAAACGTCCTAATCGTATGCATCCGCAACCAAGCCCCCATGGAACGCGTACTATTTCCTCTAGGAACATTTCCTTTAATGTCCGCCAACAGCTTCCGGGCTCTCTTGCCAAAGATAGCAATATGCGCCACACTAAAGAGAAGACCCATCGCGTACCATTTCTCCACACCCGCCACTTTCAGCCGAGGACGCGCGACGAGAAGGTTGAGCATCCCGAGAACATAGGTGCCCGGATATCCGAGAAGAATCACCCAGCGACCCCGGCGACCCCAGAGCTGGAACCAACTGGGAAGATGCACATTTGCCCGCTCGCGAAATGTAGGCGCCATCCAGGTCCCAAGGAATATGTGCTCATCGACTGCAAACATCAACACGGCGGTCGACGTGAGCACGGGAAGGAGACGGAGGGCGCGAATAGAGGTATCGGTAACAGACATAGTGATTAGAGTGATGTTAGACGTGACTTTGTGTACGTGCGATTCTGTCACTTGGGAAATTCTTGGTAAGAACAGATTTTAGGAGTTTGGAAGTTGAGATCTATGAGTTGAAGTTGGTTTCGCTGGGTCATAAAGACTCGGTACCACATTGTAGAGTATCGTATGACAGCCGGACAGTTTAATTGATCCGATATCGACCCGATGTTAAGATTTCAAACTGTGTTTTATTGGCTCCCACTCCTGCTTACATATGATTATTGTTACACCCCGCATTTTATGTTCTCGGTTCAAGGATCTAGTATCCGACAACCCCAACTTATCGGCGTACTATCACCAACTCTCACAACATCATTCTCCGAATATCCAGCCCGCAAAACGCTAACCGATTAGCCTGCTCGGTGAGTACTAATCTTACAACACAACCTCTAGCCTTTCAATAGGTAAGAAACGACCTTAGAGCCAGCCACCCATCCTATTTAAATCATCACAATATAGGTAGCCTCACCAAAACCGTGCTTATCGACAATCCATCCTCCTTCAAGGGAGAACAAACGCGCTTAATTCCCAAGGGCGAATGTGAATCTGAAGTGCTCATCATTTCGGTCAAAAATGACCTTTTTATCGTAACGTAAACGATCGATCATATTGCAACCAAGTATCAGAAACGCAAGTACTCCGTTCCGACAGGAAATTTTCTCACAAATCATCAATCAACCCTCCCATCATCCCATCATCCCCAACAAACGCAAATTACAAATTACGCAACCCACTCAAAGAGAAGCACAAAGACCCCACCGTGTTCTGTTCAGCTAGATACCTACCTCCTAGTAATCCCACTGCATCATAGCAGACCCCCTGGCAACATTTCCTAGGGTCAACTAACCTCAGGTCAAGCAATGGAGGGAGGCTCTTGACTGTGACACTGGCACGACGACCGTTGCTAATCATGCCCATACGAACTATTGCAAACTTGAATAGCCAACCAATCATGCTCTCGCTACTATTTTGATAGGAGGAATTCGTTTGATATTCTGTTACACTTCAACATCTTGCGTGAAGAGCTGGCAACTTTGCCTAGAATTGTTTGTTATTCGATTTAATTCATACATGGCACTGTGAGCCAATCTCCCATTCTGCTAGCCAAATACCCTCGTGTTTCGCGTGGGCTTTGGCTTTGACGAAATCGCGCCGCAGACGTGCACAAAATCTCATGTAATTCTAGTAATTTATAGATATATAATTCCCTCCTCATTCCATTCAGACATCCAGATATACATAAAGATACATCTGCAAATCCCTCCACTAGTACCTCATCCTCAGAAGTACATTAAAGTTAACTATTTACTCATGAAGATTTCCTCCCATCTCATATCCATCCATCCACATTCAAATCATACATTAAATTCCAATTTCTCATCAACATAACCATGAAAAATACTTTCGTCTCCCTTCTCCCTTCTCATCTAAATGTAAATAAACCATTCATCCTCTAAAAAAATATTCAACACCGTAATCTATAAGCCGCTATAAACAAACCCCAAATTTTATGCAAGAAACGAACGAGCTTTGGTATCTAATGGCCATCAATGACAACCGAGTTCATGTATGTATGTAAGTACTATGTGCAAAATGTTGTGGTATCGAAAAAAAGTGATGCAACGCGATGCAAATCAATGCAATGTTTAACGACGATTGAAGTTGAGGTATCTCGACTATTCGTATTGTCAGTAAATATTCTTGGGGAAGTGAGAAGAAAAAGGGGTAACTTACAGCCAAGAAAAGAATGATCAAATTGCTTCCAATGAATGCCAAAAAGATACCCAAATCTCTCCATCTATTGCTAAAGTCCAATGCGAGTGGTTCGTAGAACTGTTCTCCATATTTGTAGGCACAGTATTCACAGGCACTTGTCGCATTGTCGACAAGGTATCCGATACCTCCGCTTGAAAAGAAATTTTCCATGTACTTCCCGCATGTTTGACCTGCAGGAGCGGTGAAGCGACTCAATTCTGCAGAAGCACATTTCACTTCTCGACCTTGAAGTTCGGTGACGACCATTCCACCAATGAGACGAGTGAAAGGATCGAGTTGGTAGAGCCATGCACGCCAGAACTTGGGAATTTGAGGCTTGGGAATGGTGACACCACAGAAGAGAGAAAAGGTAATGATGATGAAGGGGTTGACAAGAGCGGAGATGAAGGGGGATGGGGTAAGAGCTGCGATCATTTGAGCGAGTGTTACGGAGAAGAGTTCTGTGATGAGAATCATGAAAAATTGGTAACCGGCACGACTAGACGATGTCTGGAAACCAGGCATATAGTAAAGCGGAAGGAAGAAACCAACAGCGCAAAGAATGGAGTAAGGCATCTCAGCTACGACCAAAGATGATGCGAAGGCGAATTGACTGTACATCTTCGAAGAAGCTTCTCGGTAGTAGATCATACGAGATAAAGCGTATTTAGGTTCGACTTGAGCGAGAATAAGTGCGGGAAGAACGGTAACCTGGAAGATGACGAATACACGATATTGCAATGAAGCCTTTGAATCGTCGAGATTCAGATAAGCAAGACCAGTGATAATGGCGATAATAACGTGATTGAAGAGACGAGTGAAACCGTAGTTGGGGGATCTCCAGAAAGCCAAGTTGGTACGTGCTTGAACGACTCTCAATTGATGCAACAATGGCGTGGCAAATTCTCTCTCATCATCGTGAGTAGTTCCACCAACCTCAGCGAGACGTTGTGTCTTCATTTGAGAAATACGATCCTTGATGTTGGCAAGCTCAGGCGAGTCAGCAAAAATATCAGCCCAGTCACGATCTCCAATTCTGGGGGCTTGACCGGCACCAACAGCGTCAAGCATCCATTCGGCAGGGTTAGCATCAGGAGGACAGTCAGCTCCGTGTCTGTGGAAGTAATCGAGGAGTACGTGAGCATCTTTTCCAATGTCACCAAAGTAAACACATCTTCCTCCACGTTGAAGAAGAAGCAATCGATCGAAGTTCTCGAATAATGCTGCGTTAGGTTGATGGATAGTACAGAGAATAGCTTGTCCGGCGTTTGCTAATTTCTTCAAGAAACGAACGATGTTGAAAGCACTTTGAGAGTCAAGACCGGAAGTAGGTTCATCCAAGAAAAGTAACAATTCAGGCTTGGCAGCCAATTCGACTCCGATAGTGACACGTTTTCGTTGTTCGACAGCAAGACCATTTTCAGGATCTCCAATAATTGCATCGGCCATATCTTCCATCTCAAGGAGACTAAGAATTTCCTCAACGTAGGCGTATTTTTCGGCTTGTGGAACGTGGAATGGTTGACGGAGATCAGCAGAGAATCGAAGTGCTTCACGGACAGTTGCAGTACCCTCATGGACATCAAGTTGTTCGGCGTATGAAGTTCCTCTTTGGAAAGAATTACCTGGCTTAATACCATCGACAAGGACATCACCAGAAATAACACCAATGTTCTTTCTTGAAGCCAAAACATCCAAGAGGGTTGTTTTTCCAGCACCTGAGGCTCCCATAAGTGCAGTCAATTCACCTGGTCGAACGTACCCGTAAATGTTGTTCAAAAGACGTAATTCTCCAGATGGAGTTGGGACATCATAATTCAATCCTTCCCAAGTCAAGACAGCCTTTGAGCTGATGTTAATTTCCGATCCTTCTTCATCACTCTTTGTGGCACGACGTTGATCGCGCTTGACAGCCAATGCGTTGTTGAGCTCCTCGCGTTCCTTGTTTGGCTTCTGATAAACTTTCGCAGCGTTTCCGCCGGCACCGAAAGACACCCACTCACCGAGAGTTGCGTTTGTGAACAGGAAGCCGGCGATCAAAACAATGATGATACCGAAGTTTCTCCATAGTTCAGAAGGCTTGTAGGCAAATCCTTGAGTGATGTAATCGCCACCATTAACAATGTCTGATCCAGCAACACTACCGGCCAAGGTACAAACTTGGTGTTCGAGGTTATCGTAACCTGGACCATATGGCACAAGATAGGCACCAGTACAGGTCAAATTAAGACGACTGAACTCGTTCTCCATCAAAGCGGAAAATCCAAGACCAAGAGCATTAATCCAGTAAATCCATCTGATCCAGACCTTTTCACTTTGATATTGAATGAGATAACCGGATGTGATGACGAAAAAGGTAATAATCGTAGCGGCAAACTTAATCGCGTAATCAAAATCAGGGCAGAGACATCCGACTGTTCTGAAAAAGAGTGTCATGGCCAAGTAACCACAGAGAATGATAATGTAGAATGTGAAGAATGCACCAGCGTCTCTGACCAATCCGCACATGAAGTACACGATGATGGAGAATAACAAGATCTGAGCGGCAGCGAAAGCGGTATCGACGATGATCTGAGCAATCCAGAGTGCGGATGGACGATGAAACGTGTATGACCTGTGCTTGTTCACAATAGGTCTGCCCATCATAGTAGATGCCAATTCTGAAAATGCCTGGAAAGCATTGAACAATAACGATATGAAGAGTAAACCACCTCTGGTGAATGCACCAGCAGAAGTCTTGGGCAAATTAAGCCACACGGTACCCAATACAATAGCGACAGTTATACTAGTAATCCAACTAACAACCAAAGAGAACTTATCTTGCCACTTGATCAGATATTGTCTTTGCATCAAAGCCCAGATCTGTAAGTAATAAGGAATAGAATACACAGAAGATTTTGAAGCTCCCTTGCGTTTGCTGTCAGCTATTGCAACCTCGAAATCGTCATGAATCTGCTTGTCTGTGGCAACTTGTCTTTTGTAAGCGTCCATTTCCTCGCTCAAGCGAGTAGAGAACTTGGATTCCAAGAAAGCTTGGGCCAAGGTCTCAGGACTGTGTGGAGAGTCTGCAGCAGAGCGACCAGTTGCATACTCGCGCTCGAACTCATCGGTGCAACCTGTCAAGAAATCAGGTGTAGTTTGACGGGGCTTCTCCTTGAAGCCGAGACCTTCAAAATAGGCTCTAGCTTCAGATGTTGGTCCAAAGTAGACTTCTCTTCCGTCATCAATAACCAAGACTTTGTCGAATTGCTTGTAGATGTTCTCACTTGCTTGATACAATGAAACAAAAGTTGTAGTCTTGTAGATGTTGGTCATGACACGAAGAGATTTCGCATAATCGAGAGCGGTTGAAGCGTCAAGTCCTCTCGTACTGTTATCCCAAGCGCATACAGTACCACTCGTGATCATCATTTCTGCAATGGACACACGCTTTCTCTCTCCTCCAGATACACCTCTAACGAAGGCATTTCCCACAATGGTATTCCGGGTGTGACTGATGTTGAACATTCGAAGAAGGGTATCGATTACTTTTTCCTTAAAATCGGCCTTCGACATTCCATGAGGGCGCTTTCCTGGGGTTTTGGTGTCAAGGGCGAAACCTAAGGTTTGGCCCACAGTAAGGGTTGGGTGATGAATATCGTCCTCTTGATTGTAGACAGCTTCTCCCCTGTATTTCTTCGAGAATTCTTCGGCGGTGAAAGGGCCATAAAGTATCTCACTAAATGAAATTGTGAGTAAGTGTCTAATTATTTTTCAAAAGGAAAAAAAAAAAATTGAATCTCGCTGTCAAATGCAATGTGCGAAGCTAAAGCAGGAAAAGGTCAGTCTTACCCATCAACACCATTGTACCCAAATCTTTGGTTTGCAATAACCTTCAAGAAAGTTGTGCAACCAGATCCAGGTCGTCCAAGCACAAGAACCATCTCTCCAGGTTTCATTACACCCCTGAAGTCCTGCAAAATCTTTACTTCTCTGCCTTTCTTGCCTACACCAAATATGTTCATTGCAGTCTCAACGACATTGAAGAAACTAACAAATGCATCCGGGAATGTCTTGACAAAATTCGATACACCTCCTGTTCCGCGAACGGTAAGTCCTTCCCATACCACTCCGATATGCTTTGAACGAATACCAGAATCTACTTCTGCCTGTCTGTTACCTCGGAGGGTGTTTTCTAAGTTGAATTGATCCTCCTCGGCTTCAGAAATGGATTCTGCTGACTTCTCTACGTCCTTCTCATCGGTAGTCTTGGCCCTCGATCGTGTTCTGGATAATGCCTTGCTCTTGGTACTAATACCTGACAGCTCTCGCTGAAGTTGTGCGAACTCGGACTCTGCAGCTTTGACATCGATGCCCTGATTGGTACTGACAAAACCATTAGGATTGGCGTTCCGTACATTTTCTCGTTGAGTTTCGGAGTCTTCAATTGATGCGCGAGCCGTGGTTGCGCTCAGAGACGGCGTCTCCTCTTTGTCTTTCTCCATGGTGGTGTATGTCAATGATAAGGCGGCTGGCTAAACTGTGTATAATATAACAAATATATATAATTAAAACGGTAATCACTGAGCCAAACAGTGAATGCAATGTCCGCGTATGGACGAGATGTAAGAAGAAACAACAAAAGAATTAATAGGTATTAAGAGATGGATATAAATAATATTGAAGAAGTATCCAAACAGTGGAAGGTTTTAAGATTCAAAAAACTTTTTGGGAATCTCGCAGGGACCTTCTTCATATATCTCACGATCTGAACAGCAAAAGGATAGAGTCCCACTCGGATTTAATATCAGATTGACAAGGTATCGATTAGCATTTTTCTGCATGGAAGGTTGAGGGCGCTTCCGCCGTGGCTAAGGATGGAATCCTTGTCGATCTTCTGCAATCTCATCTTGCCTTGCCCCCTTGGTGGATACATACGGAGTAAAGTAAGTTGATAGAGGGGTACCGTATATGCACGCACATATCGTATGGAGTACTCTGTAGGAAATTGCCCCGGGCGGCGGGAAGGAGTCAATTTGCTCTCACCTGCTCTCAAGCAAGCATATTACTTACTGTACCCCATGTTGTCAAGCCACTGATGCAAGGCTCAGAGTCCATTTGGTGTCTTGGTGTCTTAGTATCTCGGTCCTCAAAGGCTCAAACGTATCCATACCGGCCGGCACTTAACTTTCTTTGTGTGCATCGATCTGAGCAGATGTGAGTCGAGATGAGTAATGGCCAGAGTGACGGTAAGTGTGTTGTCGCACGAGCACCAAGGGTGGCAGGTACGTCGTACTCTGTAGAGATTAGATAGTTTGAGTTTGAGGACCTATGGAGCAGTTGGAAAGCAAAGATCATTACTAGCTTCCTGGGTAATCACAGGTGTTCGTGGAAGAAAGATAAAGTGGCGCCACTTTTATCTTGATTTGGAGCTGCTGGGGAACTTTTGGTTGTTCCAGAACAAATTGACTCGAGGTTTGGGCGGGGATTTTGAGTATTTGATTCCGGTTCCTATTAAAGCGGCGTGTACATTATTTTGCCTGAATTTGCGGCAGTTGTGGAATACGACCTTACCAATTGAAGTTTAGCCGTGTGGCCAATAACGGTTAGGGAGACGGTTTAGACTCCCCAATTAGTCAGAATACTTCACCACATTCACATCAATGACTCGAAGCTGGAGTTAAGGACCCTTGTTTCTCGGAAATAGGAAACCTTTGAATGTCCGCAATGGATCCGCCAATATTATGAAGGGAGAAATATCCCTGACATCTGTCAATGTCATCCATCGACGAAGTAGGGAAATTCGATTAAAGTTCAAACTGATGGGGACACTTTTCCCTTTTTTGCTTAAGAGGAGGAGGGTGGAAAGGGGTGGGATTTCACATTGCGGTATATTCTCATCCCTTGCTCAACGATAAACTTTGAACCGAAATATCCTTATATAGAGGATTTGCTGCACGGTTTTCCCGTTGAACTACTCTAGCTAGCTGGGTGCCTGGTAGTTAGTCCATGAATGTTTGCTTCGCCGGATGACTCTTCAGGATTGGGATTGGTATTGGTACTGGTATTAGGGTTAGGGTTAGTATTCGTATTGCTATTGCTATTGCTATTGCTATTGGCATTCTTCATTGCCAAGTAAAACTTCAAGAGACTGCCGGGTAGACAATGACAGCCTGAGTCTTTGAATTATGTTGATGCATACCGCAACTGAAGCTTGGACATGGTAGCCAGCCAGCCGCCCGAATATATCCTAATCTGATTATCTGAAGCCGGAGAAACTCGATTCCCACATTGCCAAGATGTTTCGTTGCCTACGGGACCACGGTGAGCTTTTCCTGGTAAGTTTCGTATCCACCGTGTCTTTCCATTCTTTCAAAACAAACAAAGAAGAAAGAAGAAGGGAAAAAACAATAATCTATCGTCACACCGTATTTGGCAGCTCGAGCCTCACGTTTCTTACACGGTACACGCTACGCGCTACACCATTGCAAGGGCCCGGCCAGCTCCCATCATTCCCCCCGTCTCTGAGAGTCTGAGGTTTTCGATGTGGGTTGGGGTTGGAAAAGGAGATTCCTCTGTTGGTATCTGTTGGTGCATCAAGCGGATTGACGGAGTGAAAAAGGAAGAAGTTGACATAATCCATAATCATTTATGGATCCCCAAGATCACCATTGACATTATCTTTTATCAGTAATCAGGTATCTGCGGAGAGACATTTCCGCCGCATCGGTGGTCCAAAATTACGAAAAGCTTGCGAATTCCCATTTTTATTGCAGAATTTCATCTGATTGACACGCGGATGTGTTGATTCATTTCGATTGATTACTAACGTCAACATCGTTATCGATGGAAGAAGCCTTGCTCCTCTATCAATCAATGCTGCGAATAGCTTCACAGTTCGCACTTGCTAAAAGTCTGCATCAAATTGACCTTGACGTGAAAAGACGATGAGAGAAAACACCTTACTTCAGGGTTTATCCAAATGTCTTTGATTGTCGCAATTAATGAACCAAAAATCGCTGGACTGCATATCCAAAAGGAAATAATAAGAATATTGGAACGATTTGCAACAATCGTCTTCAAATCGCAATACTCGATTCCCCAACAGAACATTATGTATGTGAAAGAGAAGATTTTGACAAAAGAGATAGATAATAAATGCACATTGATCTTCCATCTCCAAAATGGACGCCCAGGCATTACGAATTGTAGGTTCTATCTCATTCTCAACTTTGTTAGAGTACAAACCTCAATATCTGGATATCATTTCTTTTGCGGGATAATCTCGATGTTCTTGGATAATTCCACAAGTCCTGAGATGATCGCATGGAGAAAATTCGTTGTAGATCACATATCTCAAGGCTCGAAATTCTTGGGAAGGGAGGTTTTCCATGGGCGGTGAGAGGATTTACCTGGCATATCAGTATTGGTTGTGTGCTAGGCACATAAATCACTGAGTACGCCAACGTTTTCTCCACGGCCATCGCCATTTCATCTTCCTGTGTAAAAAATCGATCATCTCGAGGATTTTTGCTCAAGCAGAAATGATCTCACATGGAAACAATTTGGAGACATTGCTACCAGATGCACAATCCTGATTGACGCCACTCCCCTTGATACTAAGCAAAAGCTTGCCAATGTATATTTGATCGTGGGATTTGTTCCTACCATCCCTAGAATTTAATGTGGCTCTACTAAAAGCAATTGGTCTGTACTGGCACATCTCACAACGTGGAGCAATGTGGCAAAAGGATTCCATTGAAGTGGTGCGTAAAGATTATTTTCTCAAGCTTAAGAGGAGAACTAGGAGGATTGAATGAAAACAAGGCTTGACTCCTCATTGAAGCATCCTGATACGCGAATGTAACTAGATGATGAGTGAAGAACGGGTTGAACGAACAAGTCTAGTGTCGAACCCTTCACGCTCTGTGCCTGTATACGGTCAGGACTTGAGTCTTCCACAACCCTCAATCAGGGAAGAAGCCACGGAGCTAGGCTCTAGAAAACAAAACACAAAGCTATATTCTCACACTTCTTATAACGAAACCTGTGTTCTCGATACCCTGATGGATACCCGCATACATCTCACTCCGCTGTCAACGCCTTGACGGATACCGACTCATTTGCCACGCCTTTCACAAACCGCTTGGTGTGCCAACTCACAGTTTCAGATCCTTTGATCCATAGCTCTGATATTTGCGTATGGGAAACCTGAAGACCCGGAAATATATCTGATCTATACGTGCTTGTACGATGTTGAGATCGAACTCAAATCGCAATCGAGGGTGTACACAGCCGTAGCCAGCAGAACGTTATCTGCAGCTTGCGCGCATGGAAGGTGCATGGTGAGCATGGCGATGCAAAGTACACGTACGGCGTGTCCGGTACGGATTCTAGGTCCTCGGGAATCCATAACTTTCCACGCCTAGTGAACGGGTATACCATCACGGGATCTCTTGACCGCCGAAATCTGTGATACAACACTCCCGAGACGGTAAGACGGAGTTGCGAAAATTCCCCACTGCGCTTGCCACTTCCATCCCTGAGTTCTCATCATCTTCCTCCATCGCAGCTGGAGAGATCTTCACTTTCTGGAGAGGAATGTTCACTATCACAAGAAGCATCTCTGCTCAAAGCGCGCAAATAACCTTTCTGTACGACCCTCCTTGCCACTCGTGCGCATAGGAATCAGCCCACCCCAATATTATCAAGCGGACTTCGTGTCACCAAAGATGATTCCGGAATTACAAGTAGTACGGCCGATTGTACCATGTACATCCATCCATCCATTCTTTCAGCGCGCTCCACTTCTCCCTAACACACTATCGATATTTCACTCCAAATTTATTTTCACATCGTTAGTGAAGGAATACCATTCTCGTCTCGAGAGCTCTCCATATTGAGAAGTATTTCTCCATCTCAACACACACTTCCTTCCATCCATCTCTGCTAGTGCAAATCCAGAGCAATTTCGTAGAAGAATACTACGCTTCACTATCAAAACTCAAATCACAGATGCAAAATTATCGTGAGTAAATACATACTAGGTACATATCTAGTACATACCTACCAAAGTACCCAGTACCCCAACACAACAACAACCCATCTGTACTCCCCCCTCGCATCTCATTCGTCTACATCCCCACGCGTAACGCACCTGAAAAGTAATACATGTACTATCCCGTCTCCTTCAGTCTTTCGGTCTAGTAACCTTATTATCACTAGGTACTGCATGTTTTCATTATCTGTATCTGTAACTATAGATGTGGATGTAAATGTAGATGTATTTGTATTTGTATCTGTATCTGTAGTCTGCATATTCCGCATTGTCAAAACGTTATTGTAGGGATTAATGAGATTCTCGATGCGAGATTTAGATGCTTGGAGTATGTATGTATGTATGTATGTATGTATGTATGTATGTATGTATGTATGTATGTATGTATGTATGTATGTATGTATGTATGTATGTATGTATGTATGTATGTATGTATGTATGTATGTATGTATGTATGTATGTATGTATGTATGTATGTATGTATGTATGTATGTATGTATGTATGTATGTATGTATGTATGTATGTATGTATGTATGTATGTATGTATGTATGTATGTATGTGATATATAATATTAAATGCATGGCATAGCATAGCACAGGATACCTAATAATATCCACACCTCAAAAAGCTTATCCAATTCATTCATTCCATTCCTTTACAAGAAACCCAAGAACAAAAAATAAGAAGCAGAAATAAACTTCGACGTACAAACTCAAACTCCACGCTTATGAGATTGCGAGACGGGTTACCTCGATTCCTCTTACATACGTACACAGTACACCAGGTACAATTCTTCATGAGGATCAGGATGGGGGGATTCGATCTTTGGTTACCTACGCTGGGGAGGTGGGTGGGTAGGTAGGTGGAGTTTAGAAGTTGGAGACTAATAGTGTATGGTGTGTAATGTGCTCCTGGGGAATTTATTTATTTATTTTCATTCATTAATCCATTAATCTATTAATATATCTATTTCCCCACGGGGAGATCACTGATTCGGGAGTGTTTATATGAGAGATGGTATCCTGTTTTCTTGGTGCTTGATTTTTGATATTTCTGATATCTGGATTTATATCTATATCTATTTTATTGATATCGTATTATATCGTGTTCTGTTATCACGAAATCTCGACTCTTCTTCTTCTTCTTCCTCTTTCTTTTTCCTACTCCTATTCCATATCCACATACACCCTCCCTCTCTCTCCCCCATCTCACCCATCTCACCCATCAACCAAACATCACGTCCACAACCCCATCCCCTTCCCCCTCCCAAATCCCCCTTGAAAAATTATAATGGCAGACCTTCAAATCCACGCCAATCTCGCTATCGCTGCACCTGCAGTCCTCATCCCTATCTGTACCGCCACAGTCGCATTACGAGTCTATGCTCGTCATTTGAAGAAAGTCGGGTTGGGCGCGGATGATTATTTGATTATGGGGGCGTTGGTATGTATTACCTGTGTGGATGTGTAGATGTTTGGATTTGGTGGTTGAGATGAGATGGATGGATGAGGCTGATGATGTGGTGTGTGTAGGTTTTTGTAGTTGGGATGGGGGTTGCTATTATAGCTGGTGAGAAATCAATTTTTGTTTGTTTTTTGCGGAGGAGGTGATTTGGAATTGGGGTCGGGACTGAGGGTATAGGAACTAATTTGTGTATATCTTGAAAAGAGGTCGGACTGAAACAGCTTGGATATCCTGCCCCAGCGCCATCGACTCAGATTGGGAAACCGGATTCAAATATCGTACGTCTACTCATTCCTTCCTTTCCCTCCCCATCCCTAATCCCCAATCCTCCTTATCCACATATTCCCATTCTCACCCTCTCCACCCCTAGGCCTTCTGGCCCGGCGAGCTCCTCCAAATCCCCGCTCTCGGTCTCGTCAAACTCTCCCTCGTCCTCTTCTACCGCCGCGTCTTCACCCGCAACGCCGCTCCGCGCTTCAACATCGTCACTTGGTTTATGATCTTCATAATCATCATCTGGACGCTTTCCTTCTTCTTCTCCATCCTTTTTATCTGCGGCACCGATTTTTCCGCTTACTGGACAAGTACCATTGTGGAGAAAGCCCACTGTGTCGATACGGATATGTTGCATAATGCGTTTGCCATTAGTGATGTGGTGACGGATTTTGTCATTATTAGCTTGCCGGTTCCGATGGTATGTGTGTTTTTATTTTATTTTAGGGGGTTGTTCTTGTGGATGGAGAAAGGAGTCTCCCCTGAATAAGAAGCGATGCATGGATAAAGTGAGGCGTGGATTTATTTTCACTCTTCACTAGCAACTTCCTCGCGCACATTCCATTTTCTGAATCTCTCTCAAAGCGGCCGATTCCTCCGGACGAACAAAGGTTTTGTTGCACGTCTGAATAATTGATTAATCATCGTGAATTTGTTCGATTGAATTTTGCAATGATTGCGACATAACCAGTAGTTTTGCGCATTTTCATCACATCCAACGAGTTTGCTTAGCTCTCCTTTCAACTATTCTCACTGCCAATCCAATCTCAATTTACTGACTGCTTATATAGATCTTCGGACTACACCTCACTGTTGCTCGAAAAATAGGTATACTAGCTATCTTCTCCTTGGGAGCGCTGTAAGTTGAACTTTTACCTAGCAGTCTGTTCCCATTCAAACAAATTAAACTGACATCAAAACCCCAAAGCACAATCGCGGCATCCATCGTTCGCATGATAGTATTTATCCAAGCCACTGCCGTGAACTACGATCCGCACGCTGATTTCGAATGTACATCCCCCCTCTTTCCTTCTCCCTCTTTCCCCGTACCCAAACTAACCCCTTCACCCAGTCATCTGCACCTCCGGTCTCTACTGGTCCCTCATCGAATCCAGCCTCGGCGTCATCGCCGCCTGTCTCCCGGCCCAATACGGACTCCTCAACACCCCGGGCGTGCAATCCCTCGTCGCCTCGGTGCAATCCGCCATCTCACTCCGTTCCATGCGCTCCAGCTCGCAACATCCCAGCCAGTGCGACGCGCACGATTCGCAGCGCAATCTGTACGGCAATATGGATACGAAGATGGAACCGTGGACCACGGCCCATGGAAGCGAGACGCAGAATATTATTGCGCATGCAGAGGGGCCGGCGAGGTATGAGCGGGAGGGAGAGTTGGAGGAGGGGGGGTTCAAGGGGAAAAACGGGATTGTGGTGACGAATAGTTTTGAGAGTAGGGAGGGGTTGGCGTAGGGAGGGACTGGGTGGAGATTTTGGTATGGAGAGTTCAAATTGGAGAGTAGAGGTTGGTTGTTGAAGAGATGTAATTTGGGTGGTTTGAGTTATGTTGGATGTGTGACTTTTACTCTTAGATATCCGTGTTGCGATTAAGAGGAGGAGAAAGTTATTATTATTTAGATGCGAGATTGCACTGTATAGTTGTTATTTGGATAGATTATTGATGTTTCATTCCTGTGCATCCTAGTTTGGAATGAACACATCCATTACCCGTGAGAACTATCTGATAATCCGGAAACTATCATCGATGTGAAGGTCATTAGACTTTGAATCTTCGAAGGTAGCTCATCAATTTTGAAAGGTAATAAGGCCACTTGGCAGGTTCAGCATCCAGAACGATACCATTGTTGATTTCTAAAACGACTTATACATTCACGAATCTCTCGCTATCGGACCCCAGTATGAATTACCCAACACACTTAACGCAAAAGATCTCACACTGGAAGCTTTTTTAAAATCATCGCTTGTCATTATTTCATTTAAAATAAAGAGGATATTGATCCACTTCATCCCCAATACCTTCCGAAAGCCCAATGTAACTATTCCCCAAGACCAGCCTTGTACATCGCATCAGCATCCATTGTAAAATAAAGAGAGCAGTCCGGATACTCCCCAGGTTTCTTATCTAAACCTCTCTCTCCTCATCACCATTCACCTCAACATACAACCTTTTCGCCAAAATTCTCATTCTCCTCTCTGCTTCCTCGACTCCCATTGTGTCATCTTCCTTCGTATCTTTCTTCTCAATTACGTTACCCACACTCAAACCCTTGTTCTCTTGACTGCTATTCTTCTCTCCTTGTCCCACGCTGCTTCGCACCTCCTGGCTAACACCTGCTTTCCCCTCTATAGAATCATCCTGCCAACTTGGCATGAACCTCTTCGAACGGTCAATGTCCTCAATCTTAAGCACAACAACCCATTCTACCTTCTCGGCTTCTAACCACCACTCAATCTTCTTTCCCTCTCTCCACCACTCTTTCCCTTTGAAATCTCCCACCTTTTTCCACCACTTCCTCCTACCAAATTCCATGTCCCTCTTCATCTTCAAACTCTCCTCTAAACCCATAATTCTCGGTCCACCGAAAAGTCCGCTTGGCTCTCTCGCCTCGATCGCTTCGATCGTGTATCTTCGCACGATATCATCACTTTGAAAAACATCATGACCCCCTCCACAAGAATCCAAAAGTGTTTTTTCCGCTTTCTCTCCCAGTCTATTGACAATATCCCTCAAGTAATATTCTCGCGTTTGTCTCTCCACATCTCCATCCGCTTTGATCTCCATCCTCATGCCACATCCATATATTCTTCTCATTGCTGCATCTTGAAATCTCTGTCTGATTTTTGAAATTTCGGCAGGATGTAACTTATCAGATGACAGTGACCATTCCTCCATAATGTATTCTCGCCCGGTTGGCCATACCTTAAGGTCGCACCCAGTCAACATCCACCAATCTTGCTTTATATGGGCAGGTACATGGTGGAGAGTCCATGTCTCGTAGTGGATTTTGTTTCCCGTATTCTTTTCCGGGTTGGTTGAAGTTGTATCATTTACTGCAGTTTTTGCGGAGGCAATGGAAGGTGTGTATTGAGGTGGTGCTTTGGAATGAAGATAAAGATGAGCAATAGGTTTATCAGTAGTCTCTCCCATCCTGTCGATGAGTTTCTCATCGCATTCCTTCGCTAGTGTTTCATGCTCTTTTCCTCGAACACCAATCAAGGCAAGATATTCTTGATAACCAATCAGATCAAGACCTTTGTATGTCTCTTCCAACCCACTGACTAAAAGTGGTAAACGACCCAGATAGGACATATTTGAGGGCAATAAATAAGCTTCTCTACTAGTCTTATTTCCAGATCTACAAGAGGTCAACTCCAGGTCATGCAAGTATGAAAGTGAGAATGAACATACCCAAACGCTCTCAACCATTGCGCCCCCATACCGAGCACCATGCATGATATGCTCACGTCTTCTAGTTTCTCAGAAAATTCTTTCATCTCATCATTCTTTGACACGTTAGGAGTCTGACCTTTTTCGAACATTCTCATCAGTGCCATCACATTCTTGCTGCAGCTCAGCAAAGCCTTGAATTTTCCAATCAATAGCTCCCGGACTTCCTTGCTGAATGTTATTTCTTCTGATTCGAAAAATATTGTGCCTATAGTCGTAAAAGCCAATTGATCAAACAGATCAGTGATCTGGTCTTCCTCATGGTCGGGCAAGTCGATCCAGAACAACCTCGCCGCGGAAGTGGTGATATCTTTTACCAGCTCGTGAAGAGAAGTAGATAAAAAAGTGGTGGAGGGAGACACTTGGAACGGACTTGTCGGAGAAAGAGATAAATCACCATTATCTGGCATTGCTGCAGAGGAAGGCAAATGACCAAAGTCTGACATAACCTTTTCATCAGAAGAGGAAATCATACTTGTGAACTATTGATCCAGATATCTTGGCTTTAACTATCGAGTCCAGTATCGTTATGTCGTGGTAATATCCTGATATCCCGTCGTCAAAGAACAAACCAACCCAGGAAACCCGGGAACCCAGACCCTTTTAACCTTCCTTCCACACACACTCGCCAAGAAAGCACGCTAAAGAATCATGCCATCAAAAAAGTCAGTACTCAAAAATCATGCAACAAACAAACAGTGAATACACCTAACGGAGAGCCTCAGCAGATTGCTTCTACAACTAACAAGAATCGCAGACCCACCTGGGCACTAACATAGGTACCATCATAAGGCTGAGCAAGACCCATCTCAACCATTGCCCCACATACGATCCTCATAACACGGTCACCCCGAAGGATCTTAAATAGGATTTGAAATTTTAGAATGGCAACGATGTAATTATACTTCTTCATTGTTTATACAGTGAAATCGTATTAAAAAGGGGGGTAGGATATTTCCAGCCTGTTGGTTGCCACTACTAAAAATACATAAAACACGGGAACTGACTGGCATGTATGTCATTTGAATAGTGGTGACCATGAATGGGTGATTGGAAAAGTCCCAACTTTGGGAGGAGATAAAGATTTCGGCGAAACCAGCCACGATTAGATTCAGGGTGGGGGGAGGGGGGACTGAATGAATTTCTCGCCAATAACGCTGAAAATTAATGTATTTTCGCTAAGCTTAACAAGTACACCGCTCTAATTCCATCAAATGCATTACCTATAGCCCATTTTAATCTACCATGCTTTCCATTATATTTCTATCAACGCCCGATTCTAACTGCAGTATGCATCGATCATTTAGTAGGCTCCAAGGCCTGCCATCCCCCAATATCATCATTATCGCCCAACAAGTCAAGCGGTCTTTTCGGCAACTCTGGCTTTGCCCCTTCATCGTCTACCTTTCTTCCAGGTCTTCGAGGCTGTGGTGGCGGAGGTGGTTCCAGATTACTTTTATCTATACCAGAAGTAGCTCTCCGAGTAGGCGGCGAGAAATCTCTATATGCACCGGGCATAGGTGGCGGATCTTTCGATCTTGAAGCCAACGAAGAAGTTGAGAGGGTAGGTGAAACGGAAGTAGATGCTAAATGTACAGGCTTTCTTGGAGGAGGTGGTGCTTTCTTGTACGAGGAACGTGTTGTTTCGGTCGATGCGCGCCGTGTAAGTTGAGGTGGGGGAAGGACTGGTTTTGTTGTTGTTGTCGGGGTCGGAGTCGGGAAGTTGCTCGCTACTAGCTGTGGTGGAGGGAGTACTGTCTTTGCAGCCAAGGCTGGGGTTGAGGAATTACCCTTTATTGGATTTCCAAGTCTGCTTTGGGAACTAGGGAGAGAAGAAGAGTCAAAAGGGGGTGGAAGCTTTCGTGGTACAGTGCCGTTTCTTCCCACAGGTGTCGGTGGAAGAGACATTCTCTGTGAACTGTTCCGTGAAGACATGCCAGGTCTTGAAACCTTGACCCAGTCAGGTTCATCGCTCACACTCCACGGGTTGCTCGGTCTCCTTGGATTTGGTACCACATCCTTTGAATTGCTCGGCGGTTGAACTTGGCTCTTCGCAAGCTTCCCCCCGTCAAGCCACCATTTCCTCTCACTCGAGCTTGCAGGTGGTAAACCAGGCTCTAGGCTCTCGAATCCAATCAAGTCCTCATCGTCAGTTCCATCCAATTTTGAACTAGCTGTTGCGCCGCCAATCTCCTCTCTCCTCCTATCGTAAATGCTTCTACTGAGAGAATCACGGATAGCGTCGTCAATGACACTCACAGTGCACTGAAAGTTTGCATATACAGGTCTATGGTCGGAAAACCGTAGGGGCGCGGTGTTGTAATTGATTTGACGTAAATTGTTACCTTTCCGTAGGATTCGATCGGTCCATGCCGGAATTCTGGCCTTTTCACTCGTATCGTATGTATCGGTACCGATGTCAAATTTATATGTTGGCATAAAAGTGATCCTGGACTCGGAATAGTATTGGAATGTTAGACCAGCTACCATTTGCAGGTTTAACTATGCTGCTATTAACGGGCTTTCAGTTTGTTCTGAGCGGCGGAACTTACCTGATCATTCTCGTATAAAGTCTCCAAGTCGCCCATTTTTATGAGTTGCTTGACCTGAAAGCATGTCAGAATCAATGTCGAGCTTGTAGAGAAGTTTACTCACCCGCTCAGGTCCAAGTCCTATCCGATAATTGAAGTCACCCATCCAAATAACCGTATCTGTAATAGCATTAGTGGACAATTCTTACAATCATTTAGATAAACTTTCCATGATCATCTATGCCCCGGTTTCTTTGAAACCTCAATCCTTTGTGGATGGTATGATAATCCTTATTACGGTCTGCATAATTACTGAAGCCAGCAGCTAGATGTGCAGTCACAAAGCAGATCTGAGTATTTGCATAATCCATGCGGATTGAAACGGCACCTTTGTTGCCAGCCATCCCAGACATCCCAGTCTTTTTAACGCTGCCTTCAACGTTCTTGATGTTTGGTAAAACTGAAGCTTTAACGAATACGCATAGGGCAGCTCCCACAAGCTGGCCACTTCGTAGCAGCACGTAGTGATCCTGACCAGCTGCATGAGCATGTCTGTTTAGAGTCTTTCGCACGGCCTTTTCCCATGCTTGTTTTATTGTTGGATCACTGTTCATAATTTGCTGAGGGCTCAATTCCACTATTTCTTGGAAGCCGACCACTACTATTTCAGGATGCTGCTGTGATTTTTCAAGCTCAGGACATAACCATAAAGCCAGGTCTTCTTCTATACCAGATGTGCGCCCATTAAGATTGAAACTTCCAGCCCATCTAACAAAGTTAGCACATTGCGCGACGATTAAAAGGATAGTAGACTTACATGTTTATCACCTCAGAAGACTGGAACTCCGAGCTACGCTTGTTTAGCTCAGCCGTCACGTAGTCATTAATAGGATCGAACAAATGCACAGGCACTTGTCCCACAAGTCTGCCCAAGAGCACATCAATAGTGTTTTGTCGTCCCTTGTCCACAAAATTGTTCATGTATAATCGGGTAGCACTCTTTCGTGCATCGGCAAATACACCAGAGAGAGTCTGCTTATTAAATCTCGTGTACGATGATTTAAGAGCTCCTGTACCTGCATATATTCGTGAAAGAGCATCGCCATTATCAGCCCACATTGTTGAGTGACGCATCCAAAACTCGGAAGTGCCTCTGGCCCCCCTATGCAGGAGAAACGACTCTACTGCCATTTGAGATATGATAGTTTGAATAAGATTCGTCCTGTCCAAGCAATCCAGGCAATTGGTTCTAAATACACCTTCTTGTTGTAATACGACCACTGTTCTTCGGATTTGGTTCTCAGGAACATCTTCCGTGTCATCAATTTCTTCAGACAGATAATATGCAAAGCCATCTGCTGAATTTTCAATTATACTTCGAATCATGCTAGCTGCCTGGTAACCTTGAGGTCCCTTCGTCTCGGCATGAAAATCATATTCTGTGACCCTCAACAATTGATGATCTTTGGCATTCTTCTCTTCTGTTTTATTCAATGACGAATGATTAATTCCATATTGATAACAAGCAGTAATTTCGGCTTCAGCTGGTTTAGTTTCACTGAGCAGATTGACCACATGAACTGCGCCGTAGTTACGCTCCAATTCCTCAAAGTGTTTGTCAAAAGCTGGCTGAGTGCCCTGAGGAGATCTGGTTACAGTAACCTTTTGTTGGCCTGGAAGTAAACCAGGTGCCTGCTCGAAAAATATCGGGGCACTTCCTCTTATTTGGGCATATGAAAAGCAAATGCCAGCTGGTTTCTCGTCTGCTTGCTCCGAAGAATATTGTACATTGGCAGAGGGGCTCCAATAAACTGTTTCTGATTCAACGAAGTTTGCGACGTTTCCATCATCATCAATTCCTCGAGCATTAAACCTTGTGCCAGCTCGTTTACAAGACAATCGAGATATCAACGTAAGAGACGATGGGAGGCCTGATCTCGAAGTTCGCAAAGGATCGGAGGCGGGAGGTATAGTATTCGTTTGAACATGGCCACGAATCGCAGATATAAGAATACCAGACTTGTCCAAAGCGTCTCTTTCATGTACCACAAGGCGAGATCGGAATTTTCCCAAGGAACCAATCATATATGAATTCCATAGGAAAGAGTCGTCGAAGCTCTCAACATCGTTTGCCGTTGCATCTGTAGATCTGCAATGTATAAGAGTTTGGCACCGTGGGTATATTGACTTTGCTTACCGGTCTTGCAATCGATTTGTAAGGTCAAAATTTGTGCTGTAGTAGAAGGTTCCATCTGCCAATAGCCTCTGCAGCTCAGCACAAGGGTGCTCCACGATTGGATCCCGTCGACTCAAATTCTGGCCATATGTGTTCTCAGCGTTGTAGCTATAAGGATCCAAATCGTCCATAAAAGTGTTGTCGTACTCCGCATTGTTCAAGCAATGGAATTCTACCCCTATTATCTTTTCAACGGTTTCTCTAGGCCTCACCTGTGCCACTACGGTTCTGGCTGTTATTACGCAAAGGAATATATCATTGCTGACGGTAATTAACCCAAGTGTGCCATGGATTGGCATAAGACTTAACGTCCGGTAATCGCTGAGATCGACCGAAGAGACATCTGCGAACTCTACCATGCACTTGGGAGCTGTAACTCCGTCGGCAGATGCCCGCGGATGTACTGGATAAATGGGATTGAGCAATCCATTGCTTAAGGATTCATTCGTAGAAGGACTATGGCGGAAGATGAGAGTGTGTGTAGGCGTCACAAGAGCAATTGAGCGATGGGGATATTCGCGGAGCAGAACGCGAATAGACATAATTGAAAACTGATGAATGAAATTGGTTCAAGTACTAATACTGAGTAGCATTTTGATATCTGGCGATATCATGAAATCATTGCTGTTTAGATGTACGATACACCAAGAACGACTCTCTCGGAGATCTTAATGAAAGCTTTGGCTTGTGCTCAGCAGCAACTGCCCATTGATTAAAATTTCCAGGGTTGCTTCATTCACATCCAAGAGATCATGTGCTTATGTAATCGTTTCGACATTATGGTCACGTGAGAGATGTTTGGAAATTCCACTTGACTGACCGTTTCATTGTTCCTTCGATACTTTCAAAAGTGCTCCTTGCCAGAGCTGTTTGTCCAACACCCTTTCAAGAATAGATCAAGGAATGGTAACTTATAAGAGCATCGAACTGGGTTCTCTTGGAAACATATCCGGGCTTGAGGCCGTGGTACTAGCAGTGCTATATCTTATAAAACCTAAGACTCGCCTTCGCTACAACTTACCTACACTACCTGAAAGATTTGAAAGTTGCGTTACATGGCTCACGGACATGTTATAGAATTTGTATCCACGTGCATGAGTGTAGTACTCAAAGCTGGGTTCTCTGCAACTTGTACGAGCTGTGATGCCCGAGAGTTTGGAATTCACCGAGTCTTGTGGTCGGGCTGAAGTTAATACCGATCCATTGACAGTAAGCTCTTCAAGCCACCTGATGAGCCAAGCAAGTTAAACTTTTTGTTTTGCCAATAGCTATGCTACCTTTTCTGTACCGCGCCCTCACTGTCCAACTCCTCACTCTTCCACCACCGATATCAAATGAAGCAAAGTATTCCTAAGGCAGATAAATTAGCCCTGTTGTACTGCCGTCGCCCACTCTTTTAAACGGAGCTGCAAGATCGTCAATTTCCTTCGGAGATCGTTGTGGGCTTGTGCTTTGAAACAATTCGTGGGGGGTGCATATTGGGGAAAATGAAATAAACGTCCCTGCTTGCCCAATCCAAACGGTGGCTGAAGTTGTATATGTACGAGCAAGGATTCAACACTCCATGTCAGTGGTATCGAGGCTCGGAAAGAAAGCAACATTGATTCCACAACACGAGTATGTTGAGACGGAAAGGGAGAAACTTCACGTATTGTAACATATAGTACAACATTGCTGGTATCCTCGTCGTAGGTCAGAGATTTGATTTGAACTTGATATCCGTAAGCTACTGACAATTCCCAGCCACGACTTCCTCGGAGTCCCTCATGCCGAGCTTTTCATCAGGCAGTCAAACAGTGCTGAATTAACAACCCAATCTTTCACTACCATTGTGCTAGAAGAGGTCTGATTTCTGAGATGTGTACATACATCACTACTGGTATCACAATCGAATTCTTGATCTTTAATTGTAAGAAATGTGCATAATGGAAGAGGCGTTTTGGCGCCTAGTGTTACCGCTACAGTGCTGACACTTGCTGACGACGTAGGAATGTTGTCTGAAGATTGATGCAATATTATCTTTGATGGTACTAGGCATTTTCTGCACGTCTCTTTAATGGGAATGAATGAAAAATGTCTAAAATGGAAACCGGAGAACCTTATGAACATGCCAAGATACTGAAGAAAACTATGAAAATGTATGAGCGATGCCCTCATTGACGTAATACATCGTGAATAACATCTACTTAGATAGATTGAGGAATATAGTGAAGCTCATAGAGTGGTTGACAGAATGATAACGTCTTGGAGGTTCGTAAAAGTGGCAAGGAGATTATGAATTTCTTTAGGAGCCTACTCCGCTCGAGCTCCGTTCGGCTGTACCCCTTCATTTTGTGATGCTCTCGTATTTTCGAAAATCTTTCGTTATAAAGCCAGAATACTTTTTTTCTTGAGTAACGATTAGTTTTTTTTTTCTCAATAACAGATATGAGCTCATACATATTAGTGTACGAATAGTCAATCCATTCGGTTTCTTTGAACAATCACTATATTCTTGCTTCGGAGAATTCAGTACGTGAAGCCTTAAATCTAGAACAGGAGAAAGCATCAAAATATGGTGGAGAATTTATTTGCTGGGTGCACCGATGATAGTGTAACCTAGCAAATCATAACTCGTTGAGTTAAGGGCTAATTCCAAAAAAGATCGTTCTAGATGTCTTACCATGATGTACTGGGTAATGGATTAACATGATGCAAACAAACTACTCGCGGCACTTTGATAAAATAATTGGCCAATCAAAACAGGATTTTCAATCCTCCAACTTCATATTTGGAGCTGAAAATCATTAGTTGGGATGGACCGTTGTTGATCTTATTATAATCCGCGGTTAAAAATTGCAATTCATTGCAATTCACACTGAATCCGACATCGTGTACTTCGTCCTGAAGAGGGAAATATGTGAATAGGCATTGAACAATGGGAGTAAGGCGACGAACCAGTGTACATTCATGCATGACTAGGGAGTGATGACACTTCTTGACAAGACTCCAGAGTGAGACGCAGCGAGTTGATCAGACGGAGAAGGGTCGGATATCGGATATTCATACTCCGTATGTGTCGTACAGAGCAGCCTATTGGGGAAAAAAGAAAGCTTTATATTTTTATCTTAAAGCTAATCGCGGAGAGTAGAAGTTGATCTCATACTACCGATCCCGATAATCTAGATACTGTTCAATGTACCTGAGCTACGACCGTTGACATCGGAGCTACTGCTCTCGATATGGATTCTCACACTAATACTTACTTGATACTTACTACTTTCTCTACAGTGTACGGAATGTACGGATATCGGCACCGGTTAGTATTTTGGGAATATCAAACACTCGAGAATCAAACTAGGTACTATGGAGAACATTTCGATTATGAGCATTCATTAGTCATCACACTGATCACAGTCCTTACGCAAGGAGTAAAGAAAGATCTTCGCCAGGCTTGCTTATCCAGTGACTACCCGCTCCACGCCGCTCCACAAAATTTCGAATTAGACCTGGCTAGATCTTTCCCAAAGAATCTCTAGACCAAGAAGCGTATCTCGATTCTCCACGCACAGCTCCCAGAACTTCATCTTAATCACTTGCTACCCGCACTACCCTGAGTTTTCACTATCCTCACGACCTATTCCTTACTATTTACACTATTCATACTGTTTCTCGGCTCACTCACTACTCTTACTACTTTCACTCTAGATTTCACTACTCTGAAGTCTGAGCCTTGTAAATTTATTCCTATTTTCTTTTTCAGTTCCAATTATTGTTGATTTCCAGAGTATATCATTTAGATTTATACAGTGTTTACCTTACATATCACGGCAAGAGCATCTATCGTATGTCTGCCCTCAACCTAACTCAAATTCCCCGCCAAAGGTTATTTTGATGTCGAAGTTGTATGCTCTGGAAATCAATTCGATGCTCTTTGATCAACAGTGTCCACTACGACAGGCCCCCAGTGCGGTAACTGCCAGTAACCCGACCTAGACTCATCCAGTCCATTTACAAGTTTCAATGTTTGTTTAAACTTTTTGCATCCAGACTCTCCAGCCCTCTAGACCCTCCCTCTATTCGCTCGCTCGTCCCAATTACAAGCTCTCCCCCCTCATCCATCATCAGAATTTCAGTTAGAATATTTCTAACCTTCTGTCATCGAGCAGGAGTCTAGAATCAGTTCGCGCATAATTTTATACTTCTGATTACCGGGGTTTCCATACCGTCAATTAACTTGTCACTTGCTCATCCATTATTTTCTCGTCGATCAATAGAGAAAAGCCCCACTGTTGGATGAGGTGCCAATCTCATACGAGTACTTTGGAAACTTTGTGCTCTTTCGAAAACATACCTCTTACCACGTCCATTGTGTATTGTCGACAACGACCTTTCGGTTCGACCATCTGGCTAAGGCAGGCAACTCGCGAGTGTCCTGACTAAATGCTTGATGCACTCATACCCACACCTGAACAACATAGTGGAATGCCAGAACCACGTTTTCATCGTGAGGGTTCTGAGGGAAAGCCATACGCTTCGAGAATATACAGACCCCAACGTCAAAGGGTTAGACGATTTCCAACCAGGCCCCCGGTAAAAGATCGGTTCCCCAAGAGGACGGGGGAGGAAATGACGGGTGTAATGGAATCGAGGACACAGGCACCACACAACCTTATTGACAGACAAACATTGTGCTTGCCGAATTTCTCCGAGGATTCCATAATGCATAGTGGAGATGAAGGCTTTATAGATATACTGAGTCGATACTTCCCTGCGGCGGAGAGTAACGCTTCTGAACGCCTGGTAAAACTGAAGTCTCAGCTTCGTAAGGCTGACACCTATGACTTCTGGAGGGTACTGATGCAGGAAATGTGCGATATAACAGGAGCTCAATGCGGATTGGTTGCTAAACGAATGTTGGTGGATGATCAAGATACCGCTGTCGAACTCCCGGAACTTGGGGAAGAAGGCTCATGTCTGATGGGTGTTGCTTTCTACACAAAAAATGGGGATGAGGAACCTAACCTTGAAAGAGATTATAAGTATACAGCCTTTGGTACACCTTGCGCTTATATGAAGTACGATAAAGTGGTCATTGTACCCGAGAGAATGAAGGAGGTAACACCCAACAATCCAAACATCTTGCCGTGGGGCCAATCGGAGGCCTTCATTGGTGTGCCATTAACTATGGAAGACAAATCTTTTGCACACTTTGCATTGATATGGTCTGAGGACGGTGCAAAAAGAAGGAAGCTTAGTTGGAGCTTCATAGAAATGTTCATGCACTCTCTTGAAGACTTAATTCTCCAACGTATAGTAGAGGGCCGAGGCTTTGCTAAAGATGGTAACCTTCCGGAATGCGCTGCAGAACAGATCATACCTCTTTCTGCTATCACCGCTTCGCAGTCACTAAAACCGTATGCTCGCAGCCTGTCGCACGAGTTAAGGACACCAATGCAAGGAGTTGTTGGAATGCTTGATATCATGTACTCAACCGTACTTGATGCTATCGCAAATCAACAGAATGAGCGGGCTCGAGCTGTTTTTGCTGATCTTAAGGCCAATATTGAGATCGTGCAAGGTAAATAAACCCCATCTCTAAGGTTACTTATCTGATACTCATCTTACACAGAAAGCTCTAGAAGGGCGATAGAAGCAGCCGATAATGTCGTCCACGCATACGATCTCAATATGCAGATGCCTGATGTTCCCTTAACGCCTGAAGATGACGGAACAAAATCTTTTGCACCAATGCAAAATTATTCTCCGCCAACCGATGGGCAATTACGAGAGGCATTT